GAACTAGACACTAAAAGAAACTGAAACTGAAAGAAACAGAAAGTGAGTGAGAGAGAGTTCCCGAAGGAGAGCAGCAAATTACAGAACTTAAAGGGGTGGTAAAACACGATTTCACTTTTCAAACTTTAGGTAGTGCGTAATGTTGCTGTTTAAACATAAACAACACCTGCGAAGTTCGCTCAAAGTTTAAAGCAAATGGAGATATTTGCTTTTAAAGAAATCAATTTCTAAGAACTATACAGCAAACGGCCGATAAGGACTACACGACATTCCTCCAGGGTTGCTGACATCACTAACCCCAATATTTACATAAACCCCTCCTCCGAGAATACTAAATAAAGTGGGTGAGTCTAAAGTGTATATTGCTTTGGAGAAGAGTTGTTGTGGTATAGTAGGCTGGAGTGTTGTTGCCGCAAGACTAAGACTACTAAGAGACAAACGTCCAAAACATGAAGAAGCCGAAAAAGATCTTGATGATCAGAGATTTTAAAGCGTGAAGATGTCACACCCTCTGGAGGTGTGTGAGCCAATGCGAAACGTTTTTACGACTCTTTGTCTCTTTGCTGGGCATTTGAATGTTTAATTAGCAGTGTTAAAAGATGTAGTTTCTAACCAGAAAGCTGTTGGGCAGGATAATACATGTGGCATTAAAATAATGCCAAATAGTTTTGAAACAAAAAGCCTGTTGATTTGTACTACTTGAAAAAAATATGCATTGCATTATCCCTGGTTTTAGCTAAATTAATTAAAAAATAATTAGGTTAGATTAATACTTTTTTTACACAAGCAACATACACATCTCTGCATGCTACAAATGAACACTTAAAGTTTTTTTCTAGGACCTACCATTTTCGTACAGTTGCACTGAAAGTGACAGAAGTGCAAATGTTGCAACTTACCCCATGCAGGGTTAATTATAACAGATAGAGGGGTTAGTTGTAACACTTGTGTGTAACACACATAATTCAGTACTATTTTATTTGTATAGTCATTATTATTATTATTAGACTTTATTGTCCACCTTAGTGGAAATTTGTCTTCGACTTCTCCGAACAAAAATACATCAGTGACGCCACATTTAAGTTTGATATTGTTTGTGCATCTGTATAGACAGATATCCATACATCCATCCCTCATCCAATCATCCTTCTATTATGGATCTATAGAGACATAGAAAAGAGCTGCATAGTTTTGCAATAAATTATAATAAATAAAATTATAAATATTGTAATTGCAATTAAATTAGATTTGTGAGTGGCAGCTGCATGTACAATTATTATTGTTAATAATAATAACAGTAATAATAATACAAATGAGCTTAAAATAAAAATTTAAAGGGTTTATTGCATTAATAACAGGCCATATTTTTAATAAATAAACAAGTTATCATTCATAGTACGCTAAATTTTAAACATTTTAAATTCCAACATTGTTTGTGAAAGTCTAACAAAGTTAAATGTATGCTCAAACCTGAAAAGTTGTGTGGCTCGGTTTTCATTTGATTATCATTGTACACTTGGCGGCTTAGTTGTAACACTCTGTTACAACTAACCCCGCTGTGTATTACATATTTTAAACCTAGATAACAGTCGCTAGGAATTTCTGACATGTTTCAAAACGGTGCCATGTTTGAGCCAACAAGACAGTGATTAAGGCAACGGTCTGTGTTACATTTAACCCCGTGTTAGGTTGTGCCCCGCGCTCCCCTATACTCAAACCTGAAAAGTTGTGTGGCTCCGTTTTCATTTTATTATCATTGTACACTTGGCGGCTTAGTTGTAACAGTACAACTAACCCCTCTGTGTATTACATATTTTAACTCTAGCTAACAGTTGCTAGGAATTGCTGACATGTTTCAAAACGGTGCTATGTTTGAGCCAACAAGACAGTGATTAAGGCAATATAAAGTTAGATTTGGAAACGTATACACCAACTCAGAAACTGAAAAAATCTATGATGAAAAAAATGATGGTGTCAAAACACTCTTTGTCCAGTATCTTCACGAAATATAATCAAAACTTTCCGCAAATTCGCGGGAGACCGTCTTCTGGCAGCGAGAGAAAAATATCGGAAACACAACCTGCTTGATCCTGACGAACTATGTAAAAGGTCCGTGTTACATTTAACCCCGCGTTAGGTTGTGCTCCGCACTCCCCTATTTAAATTCAAAACACATTTTCATTAGAAAAAATTCAATAATCCATATTCACCTTTCATATTTCACTTCCAAAATATTCAAGCTGATTAAAAATACAACATATAAAATTTAACAGGTGGTTTTTGGTCCATTTTATTTCACTTTGCAAATTCGCTTCCACAAAATCAGTGGTTGAAATTCGAAAGTAAATTCAACATTGACATTCAGGAACGGCAGGAAAAGCAGTAGATTACCGAGCATAATCTCCATCTGCTGTTAGTCGACCTAATCAACAGAGGGTGCAAGCACGAGTCGTTTTTTTTTTTTTTTTTTTTTTTTGGTGTCCCGGCCTCGGCCGATGGTGTTATGAGTGTAATAAAAAATGCCCACAAACCAGTGCTTATTCTACATGCAAACACAGCCCGTAACAATACAGGGATTGTACAAGTAAAATCGACTCATAAGGTATATTTGAAAACTCCAGATATATATTGGGACATTACAATTTGTATTAATTATGCTTTTTCTCCAGGGTGACATGACAAGCTCTTTTTTCAATGGAAACGCATGGGGTATAGTAACAGTTCAGGATCTTTGTAGAGAAGGTACATTTAGCTCTTTTTTAACAGCTAAAACAAAACTATGCTCTTGTTTCTGCACACGTCTTCAGTAAATTTGCAAGTTAGAGACTTTGTTAGAAAGCACATTCCAAATTTTGAAGTTTTGAATATGAATCCCACCTTAGAGAGATTTGTTAATTTACATCCTGGTATATGTGGTAGAGTGTCAGACTTTTACAAATACTGATAGAAAATGTGGACAGTAACATAGAGAAAATAAAACATGACTGGGAGGAGGAAATTGGTAACATTCATGAAAATGTGGGATGCATGCTTGAGAAACATGCATGTTCTGTGAATGCTAGACACAATTTGATTCAGTTTATGGTAATTTAGGCTTCATTAAGTCAAAACTTCATAAAATATATCCCACGATTTCTTCACTATGTAATCAGTGTAAAATGTCAGAAGACACACTGGTCATGTAGTAAAATTCAGCCATTTTGGGAATGAATATTTAAAATTATTTCTGGAGCAAATTCTAGCCTTGCACTGGACTTTTAGGGGCAGGGAATGATTTTCGTAATAAATATCAGACACAGGCCATTTCGCTGAGCATGATGTTGGCAAAAAGACTTATTTTACAAATGTGGAAAGCAGATTCTTTCCCCATGTGGGCTAGGGAACATATTAAAGGATTAGTTCACTTTTGAGAAAACTTTTGCTGATAATTTACTCACCCCTATGTCATCCAAGATGTCCATGTCTTTCTTTCCTCAGTCGAAAAGAAATTAAGGTTTTTGATGAAAACATTCCAGGATTTTTCTCCATATAATGGACTTACATGGGAACCAGACGGTCCAAGGTCGAAAAGACAGTTAATAACAGTTTCAGATGCAGCTTCAAATGTCTTTAAACGACACCAGACGATGAATAAGGGTCTTATCATGCGAAACGATCGGTTATTTCAAAACGTATTCCAAAAATGTAACTTTTCTAAGGACAAATGCTAGCCTTGCTCTATTCTGTGAGGCGCGTTTGTAGCGTCACGTAATACGTAATTACGTTCAAAAGGTCACGGGCGACGTAGCCGGAAGTACAGAATCAAAATCGTCCGACATCGTTGTTTTACCTTTTAATTCCTTTTTTTGTAAACGGCGTTGAGTTAGTTTGCACGTTCAACCTATGCGTTCAACTTGTAAACACCGACTCTGTACTTCCGGCTACGTCGCCCGTGACCTTTTCAACGTAATTACGTATTACGTGACGTTACAAACGCGCCTCACAGAATAGAGCAAAGCTAGCATTTGTCCTTAGAAAAGTTACATTTTTGGAATAAGTTTTGAAATAACCGATCGTTTCGCATGATAAGACCCTTATTCATCGTCTGGTGTCGTTTAAAGACATTTGAAACTGCATCTGAAACTGTTATTAACTGTCTTTTCGACCTTGGACTGTCTGGTTCCCATGTAAGTCCATGGAGAAAAATCCTGGAATGTTTTCATCAAAAACCTTAATTTCTTTTCGACTGAGGAAAGAAAGACATGGACTTCTTGGATGACATGGGGGTGAGTAAATTATCAGCAAAAGTTTTTTTCAAAAGTGAACTAATCCTTTAAAAGACAAATGATCCATTTTCATTAAGATTTGGGAACCCATAAGAAAATTCTTACAGATGGACTGAACAAGCTTTATGTGTTATTTTAATTTCTGTTGTTGCCATTCACTAGGATAAAAGACTGTGTGTGTTCATTCCTTGCCCATTACAAAATGTTTTTGATTGTAGAGCCCCTGAAGACACCTAATACAATCATTGCAATTTTGTGGTGGGAGAGGGATATTCTAATTTAAAAGCTGTAAGTACCTAGCTCAATGAAGCATGTAATGATATTAGAAAGTATATTTAGTCTTACTCCTATATAGTTACTGTTTTGGTGGCATTGTGCATGTGGGTTGTCTTCATGAAAATGAAAATAAAGAGATAAAAAAAATATATCATTAGGCCAGACTGGGAAGATTCTGTCAGATTTTACAATCTGTATTGTAAAACAAATATACTAATAAACAAATATAGGTGACTTGAATTATAATATGACGAAATCAAGCAATGAATATTTGCTTGCAATAGCAACGCAATTTAAATTATACTATAAATTCCATGTTTTTACTCTGGATGTCCATGTGATGTCTATAGTACAACAGAAGCTATTTGTATTCATGGATCTATTGTGGAGAAACAAAAAGTGTTGTCAAGCATCCAGAGCACAAGCAAGCAAGCGTACATCTCTCTGGTCACTTAAATAATGGTTCTATCAGTATATTTTGACATGAGAGAGCAACTCCCCATTTCCACATCGAAGAGACTGATATGGACCCTTCTCAAAGTACCTGGCTCCTCATATCTGAACACAACAACATCCTCAAGTGGACTAATGCTTTTCTACCACAGGTTCTCACTAGAACCCAGAGAATTTGAAGTATGAACTTTTTGATTCCTTGTAAACTGATGGAAAAAGGGCCGAAGAAGAGGAGGAGACGGGAGAGGAGGAGGAGGGAGAGGTGTGGGACCTCCTGTATGTTAAGTGGAATTCAAGTCCAGGGTGCTGAGCAGGCAGAGTGGTGGGGCACTGGCTCCTTGACGAAACCGACCAGACTCAGCAGACACCAAGCAAGATAGGCACGTAAGACAAATCTTCTCCAAATCTGTCCCTCAGTGGCTGTCTTTGTCTATATCTGTTTGTGTTTTCCTTTTTCTTCAGCTCTCCTCTGATAATTACTATTCTACTGTTATCTAATGTTATTTAATTAAAGACATTTTCAATAATTTGTAATTTGATGCATTATATACTGAACCTTTAATAGAGTGAATATAATTACAACAATATAACATATAAATTAAAAGATATATTTGAAACTTGATAATTTGGCTGGTTTGTAAGGAACTTGCTTGCATGAGCATGTCTTGAATGGTAAAGTGCCTGGACAGAAATAACCAACCAATTCTGGAATAGGGTTTTCGCACTGGCCTTCCCTTGCTATATTAGGCAATGTATCGTCTGATTATGCTGATATTCTTTAAACTTACATACATTTCCTCACAGACTGAAACACTCATGGATTGTTTGGTTTTGCTCTTGGATGTGGAGAGTCTAAACTGCAATTAGAAGACTGCACAAAGTGAATTTGGACACATTTCTTTTCTTCTTAAATTGATCAAATTTGTCAATAATGTGAATGGTTTGGGATTGATGAGGCAAGCCAAATGCTTAAAGACCATTTGAGAGCTTCTTAAACAGTAGTGCAATAGTGCAGTTGTCCTCAAGCCACTGGTTTGATAGGCACCAGCATGTGTCAGATATGTCATACGACCTCTTGGTAAAGAGCCCTGACTCCATCCCCACCCCACCCCCTCTCTCTCTTTCTCTTTTTTTTTTACTTTTAATTTTACTCACTTGTTTCCTTCATAGTCCTGCCACCACACCACAGTTTTAGCAGTAGCACTGACACAGTTTGCACAGAAGCACATTAGCTACGGGGTTTTATGACCTCTTACAATGTTTGTTTACCTAAAAAAGCTTTCAGGAGTCAGGGTGCTTTGGATTATAAATGTTAGAAAGCTAAATGTCAGCATTAGAAAATTATTATTACTATTATTATTATTTTTTTTACAAATTCGTGAAGATAGATTTTCTTCAAAACGACTTGAAGATTGCCTTGTGGTTTCAGCTAACCCAGCTAACAATGTTCTACTGAGGCTTGTGTGATGAACTTTTTTAAGGATTTGAGTTAAACTGAGAAATTGATCATTGTAAGCTAATAGACGATAAAAGACTTATTTAATTTACTTAATTTAAATGTTCTGATCTAAACTGCACTTCATTAAAACGATACAATATTGGAATTTAATGATAATACATTATCTTATCAATACTTTGAAATAATAGTTGCCTGTTGTGTCTAAACACACTATGGTAATTACATGAGACGACTTATGCAAATTTCAAGGTGCACTATGGCCACATTCACAAATTTCAGGAGTGACAACTGCATTTAAAGGGATAGCTCACCCAAAAATGACATTTCTGTCAGTAACTACTCACCCTCATGGTGATCCAACCCTGTAAGACTTTCGTTCATCTTCAGAACAAAATTTAAGATATTTTTGATGAAATCTGAGAGCTGGCTCACTCCTTACATTGGCTTCTATGTAATTTCATTCTACTGGCCAGAAAAGTTAGTAAAAACATTGTTAAAATAGTCCAAGTGACTACAGTGGTTTAACCTTAAATTTATCAAGTGAGGAGAATACTTTTTGTGCATAAAAAAATTACAACTTTACTCAACTATTCAGTTTCTTCTTTGTTGGCCTCTGACGTGAGTTCACGAGACCACCACGACACATGAGCAAGAACTGTGTAGATGATGCAGATGGGTCACGATGTAGTGTTTAAAATGGTTCTAAAGTGTGCATTTCCTGGATGTCGGAATCGTGAGAAATCAACGAGGAAATGTGAAAGTGGCTTAACAATTCTGCAAAATGAATGGTTTAGCTTTCGCACTTTACCATCAAATGATCGTGAGTATCATCTTCAGTTCTTCTTGCGCATGTGTCATGGTGCTCTCGTGAACTCGCGTCAGAGGCCAACACAGAAAATTAATAGTTGATAAAGTTGTTATTTTTGTTTTGTTTTTGCGCACAAAAAGTATTTTCGTCACTGGATAAACTTTAGGTTGAGCCACTGTAGTCACTTGGAGTATTTTAACAATGTTTTTACAAACTTTTCTGGGCATGAAATAACATGAAGGAGTGAGCCAGCTCTCAGATTTCAGCAAAAATACCTTAAATTGTTTTCCTAAGATAAACGAATGTCTAACGGGTTTGGAATAACCAATGCATTCTCATCCTAGGGCGTCATATAGTGACGCTTTTGACATTTCGTCTAAATCCAACGCACATGGCACCCTTTAGTGTCAATATAATAGGCACAGAGCTTTGTTCGGATATGGGTAAGTTTAGGTCTGGGATAGGGTTAGGGTTAGACCACTAGGAGGCGCCTTCTGGCCCATATACAGTATATCTGCGTCTCATATTGACGCTAAAGGGTGCCATGTGCATTGGATATAGACGAAATGTCAAAAGCCTCAGTATATGAAGCCTTGGGATGAGACCGGGCTGGAATAACATGAGGGTGAGTAATTACTGACATAATTTTCATTTTTGGGTGAACTAACCTGTTAGTTTGGGTGAACTAACTTACTTGTCTGGTTTATACTACTCTGAGCAATGTTTGAACTTTGTATTTTGAGCATTTTGACTAAATGTCTAAATGTAAATGTTAAATATTGGAGCGAATCCCCCAAATTATTGTTTTGTGTGTGTATAGAACTGAACTCACTCTCGAAATTATGATGATTGACACTTTGGTAACCATATCAACATTCTGGCATCTCGCATGTTTGATATCCAATATATTATTTTTTTACCAAAGTAATATTACAGCAACCAAAGACTTGCTATGTTCAATGAACACTAAACTACCATCAACTAAGCCGTCTTGTTTTGTTTATGTGTGAAAGGCTGCTTCACAGAGCACGCTCTTTAAGTGTTGCCATGTCCACTTATTATAAGCAACGTTTATAAATTATCTTTGGACGTGTTGTTGGACATGGCTCAAATAGCGATCCAATTTAGTGCAGGTTGTGTTATTATGGTATTTGGAAATAAGTTTATTATGGACTTGATCTTATTTGTTTTTTGTTTGTTTGTTTTGTTTTTTTACTTTCTAGCAAGATCTGGCAACTCTAATGAGTCAAGTACCTTGTACCCTGTGATTTTCTTGCACCATGTGCACAGAAGATGAATTTCAATTCTTCATCATTTTCATGCCATTTTTTTTTATATTTATTTGTCTTGAATTTTCTTTCACAGGACTAAGACGGAGTGAGGTACAGTCAGTGAGACAGCTGGAAAAAAACAACAACTCTAAAAGTGAACATAATGCTTTAGGTTTTACTGCTGCCAAAACAAGCGTGTGTTGATGTTCAAGAAGTGTTAACAAAGGGTCAGAATTACGGTACATCGTCTAGAAGACAGATTTCAGGACAGGAATAAGATAGTACACTACAAAGTAAATCAGGACGTCAGATTGCCATGCTCTTCAAAAGTTTATTCTGAGAAGACGACTGATCTGAACCAACGGACTGTTTTGAGCTACATCTGAATTTTTAAGCACAGACCGAGTATAAGTTGGAAACAATGGAGCATCTTCCACAGACGAAAGGCAAGGGAGTCTTTATGTTTGTCAAGAGGCGTCAAAGAATGGATGATCTTTCTGCAGAACAAGAGGAAATAAGACGAAAAGGCATACCAGTGGATGCAATTGTGGAACCATTAGGTGAAACTGTAAAGCATCCTCTACAAGAAGAAAGTACACAAGCCTCAAAAGATGTCTATGAAATACAACAACAAGAGTATCAAGAGCAGCCAATTCAGCAACAGATGTTAGCACAATCACCAAATGGTATGAATGGTCTGGATCCATATCAAATTTTGGCTGTTCCCAGACTCCTTGTTCCCAACAGAACTGCTAAGCCCTTCCTTGGTGGTCCTTATCAAGGCCAAAAAACATTTTCACCAGTCAGAGGTGTCTCAAGCCCAACACCTAAGAAACTTGAAAAAATATTTAAAGTAAATGTTCCAGTAAACACAACCCCACAAGTTTGGTCCCCCACATCAGACATCATTGCTTCACGTGATGAACGTATTGCTGTACCTGCAATTAAAAGAGGTATCCTACCAGAAACTAAAAGGAGAGGAGCAAGCAAGACAGACTTTAAAGAAATGACCCTGATTCAAAAGAAAGGAGATCAGAGGTCAGAGTCAGTTCCAGAAGATGACTTTCTCAGTCTGGGTGCTGAAGCATGCAATTTCATGCAAGCTCCAAAGATCAAGCAGAAAAACCCTCCACCTGTCCTACCCAAACCTGTTATCAACCCAGCTCACCCTCCCTGGTCCGCAGAGGGCAGTGCCATCTCTTGGAATCCCCTTACAGCATCAAGCTCAGTTCCAGTTATGGGGCACACCAAGGTGCAGGCAGTACCCCAGAAAAACCCACCAAAGCTACAGCCTGCTGGAAATTCCCGGCCCTCATTATCATCTCAACCGAAATCACCAGATCTGCATCAATCAGCCTGGACTCCAAAACCACATCAGTCACATAAGCTAGATTCACTCCAGGCTGGTCCTTCCCAGTTTAAAACATCAAGGTCACAAAATGATGGTAACTCTGTTGCTTCCTGTCCACCCCAACACCTGGGCACATATGTTCAGGTATCTAAGGCTCCATCAGCTTCTCCCAAAGGGTATTCGTCGGATACAGGTGATTCTGTTGGGCTGAACCTTAAAGGAAAAGGAGCTGAACTGTTTGCTCGTAGACAGTCCCGTATGGAAAAATTTATAGTGGACAATGAGACTGTGCGAGCCAACAAGGCAAGATCCTCTTCACCAACATTTTCAATGCCAAGCACATGGAAATACACTTCTAATGTCCGTGCCCCACCTCCAGTGTCCTACAATCCTATTTTGTCCCCCTTTTATCCTCTTGCAGCAGTTAAACAACCCCCTCCTTCAACTAGTCCAAAGATAAAGCCTAAAGCAAGCAAGGAGGAGATGTATCCACCACCCAAACATCTCAATGTTCTGGACGTCATGAAACATCAGCCTTACCAACTGAACTCCTCACTTTTTACCTACAACTCCACTCTAGAGGCTAGGGAAGCAGTTTCCCCTGAAGAGTCTAAACAAACTTCTTATCAACCCCCTACCAGTTTTCAGACCCAGTCCCTCGCTTGTGAGCCATCTACAACATTATCTCCATCCCCAAATAGTTTTTCCAAAAGTTCACAGCCAGTTCTAAAGCCATCTAATGCCACTGGAGAGGTAAGTGTTCCATACCCATTTGTCCATCAGTCTACATCAAATGAAGCAACCATTGTTCCACAACAATTAGATGGGAAACGGCAGTCCATGTATGATGGTCCCAGAAACATCTCCAATGCCCCTGGTAGCACTGGGGCCAATCTTTTTGTAGGGTCTTCTTTACGCATGAATAATGAATTTGCTTCACGGTGTGCATTACCAGTGACTCCAAGACCAAAGTTTTCAGCCAAAAAGTCAAACACTGGCAAGCAATGGAAACCAATAATTTTACAACTTTAGGTCATGACATGCTTTTTATATTATTTTCTTGTTTCTTGATTCACTTTTAATGCTAGTAAAGTTAGTTACAAAAAAATAGAATATACATGAAAAATATTTTGTTTTGGCAGATTCAAAAAATGCTGTTTTTGCAGTTAGGAGGAATTGTTGTGGTCCGAACAATTTTTTTATTGTACAATGTTAAAGGATCAAAAAAAGTTTGATTCCGTAATGACCCTTAATGATACTTTCTACATAAATGCACAATTTAAGAATGTCATACATTATAGAACAGTTCTACAATTTATCGCTTACATTGATTTTGATTAGATTTTATTAGTTTCCCAATTTTATTTTGATTTCCTTGTGAATGACAATTGCATTTATTTTTATCTGTATTTTGTAGAGAGAAAAAAACTGATAAACATTTTCTCATTATGCCAAGTGGACCTGGATTGTGAAAAGGATTGTCATTTTCTGATATTTGTGGACAGGCAAAGCACCAATGACATAATGAGTGTCAAAAGCATTAGGTGCTACATTTTGGCTACAGTTCAAAATCAACATACTAGATTATCCCCTGGACTGAGTTTCTTTTGCTATTCTGTCAGACCTCTAATTCATTCATATGTATTTTGTAAATGTATTATCTGTATTTAGCAGACTGTTCAAATGCAGAAAACAAATGATGGGTGTACAGAACATATTCATTTGTACTAATTCAAATTTCAATCTGAACAACGTTAGCCTACTACTGTTCTTGTTTCTTCTTTCCCTTGCACTTCTTGATCTCTCTCTTTAATAAATATTTCCATCAGCTCTGTCTCACCTAATGCTTTCTCTGCTCTCTATTTGCTTTTCTTTACCAATTTTAACACAGTTCTCTTTCTGGTATTTCCATATTGCTCATGTTAATCTATCTGCTTTCTATCTGATTCTGGAAAGAATAGTCCCTATGGGCTTCTTCAGTCTAAAATGACCGAAAACTGTTACGTTTTTAAAATTTTAAATTTTTTGCTTCATTGTTGCTTCATTTTGTTCAATTACCTTTCTGAACACACAAAACAATCAAGGAGATGATTCGGATATTTTAAAGGGTCATAAAACAATAGTCACACTTAGCTTCCTCCCAGTCAAAAATGACCGACCATAGGAAATGAATGGGAAATACATCATCAAGATTATTTTTTGCCAAGCATCCATCACTGAATTGTAGATGCAATGGGAAAACTCGGATACACTTTTGGTGGTGCAAACTACAGATCAGCCACTGCAGAAAAAAAGTGTACAGCAATAAAGGGGTCGTGAAACTAAGACATCAATAAGACCCTCCACCTCCCAACCACACACATATACACCCCATCCACACACACACACACACACATACATACACACAGAAAAACTAGGAAGACTGCAACAGCAAATTTTTAGAATATGCAAAATAAGATCAATAAATGAAAAAAAAAAACGCTCTAATTGCATTCACACACACACACACACTCAGAGAGAGAGAGAGAGGAAAAAAAGCTTTTTGTATTGTGTTCCCTTTCTAACCAAATGTTATTGTATGATTGTATTCGAAATGCAAAACCTGATACTTGACTGATTCTAAACCTGATCTTAAAAACAAAAACAAACAAACAAAAAAAACCCAACAACAATAAAATAGAGAAATCCTGTCTAAAACAACAATAGGAATCAAAAAACCTTTCTATGTATTTATATAGCAAGCTACTGTATAGGCAGCCTACAGTACAAGCAGTTACAGGACATTTCACACGTTTATATATTTTTAAAGCCACTAGATGGCGATTCATTTTAAGGCTCCTGTCTTTTTTGACTGGGAGGAAGCTAAGTGTAACCCCTAAACAAAGAAGCCCGGAGGGTTAAATGTACTGTAACACATTCAGTGTAATAAAAATACACCTTGGGTCAATACGTTCTAAATTGAGTCAACAAATACTAAGGTCTAGTCTTTATTCTGCCCGAATAATTCTGTTCTTCACAAATAGTTGAAGTACTATGGTTTAGCACACGTAGCTCATTTTAAATATAGCTCTTGCTCCACCATGTTTACAACACACAAACTCTAAGACACCATCTCTCCTTAGCAATCTGATAGGTCTTATACTTATCAACAGCCTTTAACTAGAGGTAAGTGCTGAAATAACCCCATCCCCAACTCACTTATCATGTTCTAATGAAGACACTAGAACACAGCATTTTTTTTCCTGACAGAGGCAATGTCAGAATCTTTTAGATAATAATTTCAGAGCTGACTTGCATACATTTTTTTCTCCTATGAAGTCCCCCCCACCTTCCCAAACTGAATATAGGCCTATACTTTTGTAGGTTACAAAGTTATGAAAAATCAAACATATTTCAGGATGACTGTTTGAAAAAAAGAAAAAAAAAATCAATCACAATATTTGTCCAAAAAAAAAAAAATCTTTTTCATAATATGATTAATGTGTTAAATGTGATTAATGTTTAATGCTTTTTTATTTTAATTATACATAATTAAATTACATACATTTTTAAAGGGACAATACACATCAATTAACATTTTAATAATTTCTCATTTTAATTATTACATGTCTCTATTAACTGATATTCATATTTATTAATATTTAAACTTACTCTTATCAAGAGTTTAACTACTCTCAAAAATGTTGCGACAGTCTAATTATAAATCATGATGACTAATTATAACCACAGAATTAATCCAGTGCCAACCAAACCCAGTAGCCAAACAACCCTGACCTCCCCTAACCTACTGTAAAATGAGTCTATAGAGCATTTACAGACACTGTCCAGATGAGGGCAATCTAAATGCATGTGATAATTTATATTTAGTTTGGTGTAAAAAGTCTTGTTAGAAATCCAAAAGCATCAAGAGTTTCTTTATGTTACAAACTAAATCTGTGATAACTTGATAAAGCTTATGAGTCTGTGTTCACTTGTTTTACTAGAACTAATAAGTGAATGTCCTTCTGTCTTGCTCTGTAGGGATTCAGCAGGAGCCGGTTCTTGTCTTTTCCTCAGAGACTGGCGTCTGTGTCTTCCGCTTTCCCTGTATCCTCCTCAGGTGTCCATCCAACACGTGATTCAATGAACAGGCAATATTCTTGGTCGGAGCCGCCCAAAAAACTACTCCCTTCTACAGCTGCTCAAAGCCCCTTTGTTCTCGATGAGGTCAAAATGTCTGCTACTCATAGAAAATCACTACCAGAAACAACAGCAGAATGGAAACAAAGAGTATTCTACGAGTTAGCTGGTTGCCCACAGGAGATGGCGCCTGTTATAGCTGTTACATCCCCTACTAACAGTTTTTCTTCAGTGGCAAAAAAACCCATTGTACATGGGCCGCCTTTCCATTCTGCCCAGCCTCTGGTGACCAGCAACAGGTGCAGCAAGGGTATTTCTCTGCCAAGTAAATTCACACATCACACAAACTATCCACAATCGCATAGAGTCAGTTGGAAACTGTAATCAAAATATTATTGTGATTTATCAAGTTAAATAATAGTTATTAAATGTGGCTTTATGAGTTGATATTTTGAATTGATTTATTACAGAAGTTTGTTAAGTCAAAACAGTTAAAAGGAAAAATATGAAATATTTCATTTGATCACTGCTATTTACTGAATACTATTGGTGTGCAATTAACTTTCTACAAGCAATCAATTTGGGAGTTTTGTAGTTTATAATAGTAATAATAAATAGTTCAACTTATATTCATTATTGTCAATATAGGACACAGCTTTTAGTGTCTTAAATTAAGCAGGACAGTGTGTACTGAGAAAATAAAAATCATTCTTACCAGTGACTACTCTGAGTAAAATCTGCTTTGGGTGGGTGTGGAATGAAAGTCACAGTAGTGAGAAATATGATGTCAGTTAATAGTATTTTGTGGCCTGGCACTGATTATAGTAATTTAATATATTTAAAATGCATTGTATATTACATATTTTACACTATGACAAAATGAGTGAAAGTCACTTAAAAGGGGAGTTAGTATTAGGTTAGATTGACCTCAGAGAAATTCTTTTACACAGTATGTGTGAATATTTTCTGTTATAAAGGGGAGAATGTGAGTGTTGTAACATGGTGTTAAGAGCTGTGGTGACGTCATCAAATATCATACACTTCAATCTGCTTTTTGAGATCACAGGAGAAATTACCCAGACTGAGAGCAAATTTGTACATGTTATGACGAAAAAGAAAAAAAAAAAACAGGTAAGAAAGTCATTTTTCATGAAGATTATTTTTGGCCAAGCATCATTGAATTGTATATGCAATTATTAAACATGACCTGTAATAACTGTGTCTCTAGTTTAATTTGATGCTTTGTATTTATGCTAAGTTCAAACTGTTTGGGGTGTGGATAGTTGTAACAGTTTATTAAAAATATTACAAACCCCTATGATGATTCCAATGAGACCAGTTATCAGTCACATCCTCTACTGAGGCAAAGTCACTTGATTTTTTTTTTTTTTTTTGCGTAACGATTTATTCAGTAAACTTGTGTTTCCATATAGTTTAGCACATCTTCTTACCAGATACAAACAATCTGCCTCAATTGAACACACACATTTATTGTGCACAATAATTAATTTTTGAGCATCTTGATGTTTCCATCCATTATTTTTTATGCAATATCTCAAAATTCACATAATATGAGGCCAGGACAACAGCACGCTTACACACATACTCGTCACACAATCACCTCTGCAATTTTTTGCACTACATTTAAAGTCCTATAAAAGTACAATTTAAAATTTTTTGTCAGTTTAAATTGTTCACGTTGTTCAAAACTGTTTTTTTTCTTTGTTTTTCAATGATGTTTATGCAAACAAATTGCATAGTTAGGCCTACCTGTACATCTGTCCCTATAGTTCAACTCAACCCAGTAGTGGGGTATACATTATAACACTGGAACTCTTTGTATTTGACATTAACTCATATGTTGTAACCAAGAGTTATATTTGCAGTAGACAAATGTGGCTACCATATATGAAAATTTGAGATATATAGCACAAACAACTATTGAGTTACTCAAAGCGTTTTACAACGATCCCCGTTCTCCCCCTATTTTGGTTTGACTTCTGTCTTGTAAAGTTGATCTATTTAGTTGTGACAAATGCTTGCAACAGCGTTACCAAAAAAAGTTCTTGATTGAACATTGATGGAGCAACAGATTTTGTATGAAAATGAATCATAAAAGTGGTTTATTGGTTAAAAGACCCACTGTGGTGAAAATCAATTTTTTAATGTTTATGTCTACAGTATGTGGTGTTTTTATTATGCTTTAGCCCCCTGAAGGGTTTTTATGACTTCACTGCGGACTTCATCTTGTCATCACATCTTCTGTCCAATCAAACGCTCTCTAGAATCTAGCGTCCCGTCCCCAATACTATAAATACCACCTGACCAAAGCGACCATTGCGTTGACTCAATATGAGTTTTAGCCAGGGTCGATATTGTCCCCACCACTTTTTGAAACATCTAGTGGCACAAATGTACCTAATACAAATAAATAAAACATTTCCATCTAATTAGCAGGACATTAATTTAGTTTTTTGTCAAGTAAGAGGCATTCTGAAATGTATTGGGTGTTTTTTAAATCTGCTGAGTGCTCGTTGCCGCTGCTATCAGTGTCTTGGATACAGTGTTCTCTTGCTTCAATCTATTGCCATTGCGGAGACTCTATTCATACAACTCAATTCAATTCAATTCAATTCAATTCAATTCAATAGCTTTATTGTCTATCCCCATAGACGGGAAGAAAATTGCCTTTAGACAAAGGCTCAACAAACAGTACAATACAAAAGACAACCACACAATTTATTCCTATTTAAAATATCAATGGCAGTTGGAATAAAAGTCTTCTTATACTTGGCCTTTTTCACCAAAGGTACTTTATATCGTCTACCAGACGGAAGGACATTAAATGAACTATGCAAGGGATGTGAAGAGTCTGTCACAATAGCAGAGGCTTTCCTTTCCACTGCCACAGTGTAAAGATCAGTCAGAGCTACTTGTTTCTCACCAATAATTTTCCTGAAAAGTCTATTTTTGCATTTGACAGAAAGAGAGTTGAACCAGGATACAATGTTGAAAGTGAGCACAGATTCAAAGTGATCTACTCTCAGAATGTCCATTTCAATATTAAAACTCCTCAATTTCCTCAATAAACCTAGACGTTGATATGCCTTCTTAAAAACACTTTCTGAGTGCACATCGAATTTAAACTGGGAGTCAATCTCTGTACCAAAGTATTTAAAGGATCCCACCTGCTCAACTTCCTCTCCATTAAGTATCAAAGGATAAGAAAGCATACATGCATTATTAGCCCCACAACACATTTCTTTGGTCTTGTTAATATACTGTAAGCTGCAAGGAACTCTCCTCCGTCCAGGCTACGAGAGAATCAACAAAATCAAAATGTCCAGTGATTGGGTGTCCTTCACACATCCCACCAGTGCCATATCATCTGCATATTTTATAAGCATCAGGTTATCACATACATACATCTTCTTCCGCTCATCCGGGGCCGGGTCGCGGGGGCAGCAGTCTAAGCAGAGATGCCCAGACTTCCCTCTCCCTAGACACTTCCTCCAGCTCTTCTGGGGGGATACCGAGGCGTTCCCAGGCCAGCCGGGAGACATAGTCTCTCCAGCGTGTCCTAGGTCTTCCCCGGGGCCTCCGCCCAGTGGGACGTGCCCGGAACACCTCCCCAGGAAGGCGTCCAGGAGGCATCCGGAACAGATGCCCGAGCCACCTCAGCTGACCCCTCTCGATGTGGAGGAGCAGCGGCTCTACTCTGAGCTCCTCCCGAGTGACCGAGCTTCTCACCCTATCTCTAAGGGATCGCCCAGCCACCCTGCGGAGAAAGCTCATTTCAGCCGCCTGTATCCGGGATCTTGTTCTTTCGGTCATGACCCAAAGCTCATGACCATAGGTGAGAGTAGGAACGTAGATTGACTGGTAAATCGAGAGCTTTGCCTTACGGCTCAGCTCCTTCTTCACCACAACAGATCGGTACATCGACCGCATTACTGCTGAAGCTGCACCGATCCGTCTGTCAATCTCCCATTCCATCCTTCCCTCACTCGTGAACAAAACCCCAAGATACTTAAACTCCTCCACTTGAGGAAGGATCTCTCCACCAACCTGAAGTGGGCAAGCCACCCTTTTCCGGCTGAGGACCATGGCCTCGGATTTGGAGGTGCTTATTTTCATCCCAGCCGCTTCACACTCGGCTGCAAACCGTCCCAGTGCACGTTGAAGGTCCTGGTATGAAGGGGCCAACACGACAACATCATCCGCGAAGAGCAGAGACGAAATCGTGTGGTCCCCAAACCTGACACCCTCCGGCCCCTGGCTGCGCCTAGAAATTCTGTCCATAAAGATTATGAACAGAACCGGCGACAAAGGGCAGCCCTGCCGGAGTCCAACATGCACCGGGAAGAAGTCTGACTTACTACCGGCAATGCGAACCAAGCTCCTGCTTCGGTCATACAGGGACCGGACAGCCCTTAGCAAAGGACCCCGGACCCCATATTCCCGGAGCACCCTCCACAGGCCGCCTCGGGGGACACAGTCGAATGCCTTCTCCAAATCCACAAAACACATGTGGACTGGTTGGGCAAACTCCCATGAACCCTCCAGCACCCCGTAGAGAGTATAGAGCTGGTCCAGTGTTCCACGGCCAGGACGAAAACCGCACTGTTCCTCCTGAATCCGAGGTTCCACTATCGGCCGTATTCTCCTCTCCAGTACCCTGGCATAGACTTTCCCAGGGAGGCTGAGAAGTGTGATCCCCCTATAGTTGGAACACACCCTCCGGTCCCCCTTCTTAAAAAGGCTGCTTGCCAGAAACGAGACTTCCTTAGATTTCCACGACCGCGAGAATTGCTATCTCCTTACACTACTTCAGTTCAGTTCTCGCGCATGCGTCGTGGAAATCTAAGGAAGTCTCGTTTCTGGCCTACAAGGAAGTAAAGGAATAGTCGAATAAACTCGTTATTTTTGTTTTTTTTTTCGCACAAAAAGTATTCTCGTCGCTTGATAAACATATAGTTGAGCCACGGTAGTCACTTGGGATATTTAAACATTTTCTTCATTGACTTTCTGGGCTGTCAAGAGGCAGTCCCTTAGGAGCCTATGTGGTAGTTATACAGCTCTCAAATTTAATCAAAAATATCTTCATTTGTGTTCCGAAGACGAACGAAGGTCTTACGGGGTTGGTACAGCATGGGGGTGAGTAATTAATGACTTAATTTTCATGGGTGAACTAACCCTTTAAATTCTTTCTGAAAAAGGTTAAAACCATATCTATCTCCATTTAAAAAAGCTATTTTTTAAAGATTTAAACAATGTTTCAGATCTTTTGTAACCCAAGGCTTGTTGTTAGGGTAACACCTCACATGTTTTACAGGAATAACACTATCTACACAAAAATCTACATACCCAGATATGGAGGCATTGAGCATATCTACATCATTTCCACAGTCCTTAAAAAATACATCCCAATCTGTTGCTTCAAAGCATCCTTTTTAGTTTTTCAGTGGAGTCAAAGTCCCATACCTGGATAGTCCTAGTTTGCACTTTCTCAGTTTTTAGTTTTTGCCTATATTGAGGTAGAAGCAGAACAGTATTATGATCGGAACGACCAAGAGGCGGGCGTGCCTTGGAGATGTAAGCACTTGGTATATTTCCATAGCACAAGTCCAGTGTTTTATCCAGCCTAGTGACAGACGTGACATATTGCTCCAGATTCGGCAGGTGTGAAGCAGCGTCACATCGATTAAAATCTCAGAGCAAAAACACCGGCTGATCGCCAGCTTTATTTACAGTATTATTAAAAATGCCTGCAATAATTTCAGTGTCACAGTCTTCGTCTGCACCGTCCTGTCCTGTCATCAGCACTACACTTCCCAGGATCCTCTTGTCTCCACACCTGAACTCACTCCCTCATCAGCCTCCCGTTCAGCGTCCCGTATTCATCTGTTTCACCTGTTTTCACCTCGTTTAGTTTGATTCCTGTGTGTATTTAGTTCCTTCCCATTCAGTCTGTCCTTGTCGGTCGATGTTAATGTTACCCTGTGTTCCGCCTGCCTGTTTCCTGTTTATTTGGGAATAAACCTTTTGTATTGGAGCTTATCTGGACTCTGCCTGTTCCTTCTGCCTGAACCCGCACCCGTGACAGATCGACCGACCCCCAAAAAGGGATTAATATGGATTTAGCCGCTGTACAGCTTCTCCTCCTGGAGCAGGAGGATCAATCCCTCGAGGCCCACACACAGAGGTATTTGGATTTGGTACCTCATGTTCACTATGATGTTACCAGCCTCTGTGTGTTCTTCCGGGCAGGCCTAAATGCTGAAACCCAGGCACGCCTGCCCGGAGACGGGCCTCGAGGGGACTTTGCGGCCTATGTGGAGTGGGTGCTGGTGTCATGTGGATCTCCCTTTACCATGTATGACGTCACCAGCCCCACTCCATCGCTCGAATGCTCTTCACCGCTGGTTCCGTCCAGCTCTCCAGAGATTGAATGCTCTTCACCGCTGGTTCCGTCCAGCTCTCCAGAATCTGAATGCTCTTCACCGCTGGTTCCGTCCAGCTCTCCAGAGTCGGAATGCTCTTCACCGCTGGTTCCGTCCAGCTCTCCAGAGACTGAATGCTCTTCACCGCTGGTTCCGTCCAGCTCTCCAGAGATTGAATGCTCTTCACTGCTGGTTCCGTCCAGCCCTCCAGAGACTGTATGCTCTTCACTGCTGGTTCCGTCCAGCCCTCCAGAGACTGTATGCTCTTCACTGCTGGTTCCGTCCAGCTCTCCAGAGACCGTCCAGCCAGCGCCAAAGACCGTCCAGCCAGCGCCAGAGACCGTCCAGCCAGCGCCAGAGACCGTCCAGCCAGCGCCAGGGACCGTCCAGCCAGCGCCAGGGACCGTCCAGCCAGCGCCAGGGACCGTCCAGCCAGCGCCAGAGACCGTCCAGCCAGCGCCAGAGACCGTCCAGCCAGCGCCAGAGACCGTCCAGCCAGCGCCAGAGACCGTCCAGCCAGCGCCAGAGACCGGAATCCCACCCAGCCTCCCTCTCCCGCCTCCTCTCATCTGTCCTCCCTCTGCTCTCCTGCCCTTCAGCTCCCCGAAACCAGCCTGGTTTGTGTATCCCCGGTCTTCGCCTCACACCTCCTCCTCTGAGACACTTCCTCGGCCCCCGGTCCCATCGGCTCCCCCGTGGCTGCTACCTCCCTCAGCTCCTCCATGGTCCCACAGTCCACCAGCTCGGCCAGGCTCCCTCGTCCCTCCGAACTCCCTGCACTCCCTCGTCATCCTCCCCTCACCTATGGACTTCCTTACTTTGGCTCCGCCCCGTTTCGTCACCCCTTCGGTTCAGTTGGACTCCTCACTCCCTCCAGTCACCCGTCAGCCCTCACGCACTCTGACCTCACCGTGTCCCTCTGTGCCCCTGTCAGCACTTCTGTCACCAGAGCCTGCGGTGTCCCCTTGTTCCCTCGGTCCCTCCTCAGCACCCATCGTCGTCTGTCCCTCAGCTACACCCTGGTCTCCTCTCCCATCCGCTCCGCCCCTGTCAGTCGGCCCCCTGGTGTTGTCAGCCCCACTACCATCGGCTCCACCAGGGGTCCTCCCTCCAGCTGCTCCGCCCTGGTCTCGCCCTCATCATGCTCCGCCCTGGTCTCGCCCTCAGCCTGCTCCGCCCTGGCCACGCCCTCAGCCTGCTCCGCCCTGGCCACGCCCTCAGCCTGCTCCGCCCTGGCCACGCCCCGCCCAGGCCCCAGTTCGTCCCCCCTCCTTCCTCTGTTATGCGGCGTGAGGTCACGCCTCCCGGGAGGGGGGAGTTCTGTCACAGTCTTCGTCTGCACCGTCCTGTCCTGTCATCAGCACTACACTTCCCAGGATCCTCTTGTCTCCACACCTGAACTCACTCCCTCTTAAGCCTCCCGTTCAGCGTCCCGTATTCATCTGTTTCACCTGTTTTCACCTCGTCTAGTTTGATTCCTGTGTGTATTTAGTTCCTTCCCATTCAGTCTGTCCTTGTCGGTCGATGTTAATGTTACCCTGTGTTCCGCCTGCCTGTTTCCTGTTTATTTGGGAATAAACCTTTTGTATTGGAGCTTATCTGGACTCTGCCTGTTCCTTCTGCCTGAACCCGCACCCGTGACATTCAGCAGCTAACATAAAATCAGGTCCCGTGACGTACACCAGTATTACTATTATTTGAATAAATTCTCTAGGGAGATAATGTGGTTGAAAGGAAACCACCATAATTTCATAATGTCTTGAGCAAACACTTTCCCTCAGCGTAAAGTTCGTTGCCTATCTGTTATTCACAGCCATACACAGGCCCCCACCAACAGTTTTCTGAGTTTTAAAAGTATCTCGATCAAACCGAATCAAAGTAAATCCATCAAGATGAAAATCTGCTGCTTCCTGGGAGAGCCATGTCTCAGTAAAACAGAAAAGGCTTGTGCAACGATAATTTTCATCATATTTGATCAACGCAGACAACTCATCAAAACCATGATTTCTCAGGGATCTAATGTTTGGTGATAGCAGGTAAGGGCAGTTTAGTACTTCTTCTCTGAAGCCTTTTGAGTAATCCTCATCTCAAACCCCTTTTCCTCCGTTTCACTTTAAACTTTTTCCAACTGATGCCAACCAAGAGACATTTTGGGATATTTTTAAAAAGTGTTGAATCCATTGTCGGCACAACAGCAAGCGGGCGCAAATCCAGCAATAGTCCACGTGAGTACACCAGATTTCCCACGGTTGATATACATGCTCCAGTCTCCTTCGTCGGTATTGCCCACAAAGCCAAACTTGGTTGAGAAATAAACACCAGAAGGCCCAGAAGTTAGCCATCTCGCATATAAATAATAAATTAAGAAAAAACTACTACACTTGACATAAAACAAACAAAACAAACATCAAATGAGTTGCACAAGCAGCGTTGCGCCCCAGAAGTTTCTGATTGAAATCACAAAACAAACTGCACACAAATGTGTCCCTGATTGATATAAAACCACTGATAAACATGGTTTTGATGAGAAAAACCATGTTTTGGGTTTTGACCATGAAAGTACACTATATTCACAGTTCGTCATACTCATATCCTAGTCAGAATGTGAGTCTGAGTGGTTTCATAGAATCAGGAAGTCAACCGCTCGTTCGAGGACAGAGGAGAGAGTGGCTGACAATAAGGTGAAGTTTATGAAAAATAAGACTTTTAAAAAAAGAAAAACCACTAATACATGTTATATTGTACCCCATAAATACAATCATGCAAAGAAAAAAAGCAGTCAACCCCCCCTTTAAACTGACTCGACACGGGTGTTTTGGAACCGACATACCCAGGTCCCAGAGTAAGCAGGTTTTGGGTTAATCAACCCAGAGTTAAGGGTTAATCTGATGGTTAATTAACCCAGCTTTCTGGAATACACCCCAGGTTTTAGTCTGTACTTAATCTGAGTTTCAGAAATGAACTATTGTAGATTAAGACCTATTCTTGGTTTAATTTAAACCCTGTCCGGGAAACCACCCCCGTCTATGCTAATTCTGAAAGTTTATTTCTCACTTCGGGACCTCGAAATTAACAATTTATGCACTGCACAAACAATTTGAAATTCTTGCATCTATCATAAAATGTAACAATCTGGACCATAAAGAGAGTTGTATTTAAACATGATGACCAAAAATGCTGTTACTGTTGTATAATACTAATGTTTACTACTATCATAATTCAGTCAGATCTTTTGGAGCAGACTGCTCTCTCAATTCTGAGTCCTGATTATGTGTTATGCAATAAGACAAGAGCAGGATTGTCACACTGCCCATGCTTCTGGATAGAATGAGAACTACAGTATCTGCTGGAAAGCCCGCCTTTAATGACAATCAAGAAAATCCCAGGCTCCGAGGCTAAGAATTGCACAGACTAAAGCCCCATCACCGTTTACAAGTCAGCCCATTCTCACCCCCAAGGGGTCACTTAACTGACGCCTTGGGAAGCATTTGGACATGCTTCAATATCTGACGCTTTAGGCGCCCTTTAGCGTCAGTAAGATGACGCCCTAGGATCGCGTGTACCCTACCCCCACCCCACACCTAAACCTAACCGCGTCCTCTAACTGACGCTTTCCTTTAGCGTCAGTTAGATGACGCTCTAGGATCGCGTCATGTAAGTGACGCTAAAGGGCGCCTAAAACGTCAAATATTGAAGCATGGTCAAAGGTGACGCCTTGGGGTGAGAATGCGTTGTACAAGTACTCACCCACAGACTTTTGTACACATTATTCTCATGCATACAGTTCTCCCTCCCCCTTCCATACCATCTTATAGTATTGTGAGAGGTTTGAGTGCTGAACACAGCTAAAATTAGCCTATTGATGTAAGCTGGCGTTCCACTAACACCCGCACACACCCCCACCCCAGTGCAAGTCAAGAACAGAGAGCGAGACAAAGACAAATCAGGCGGAATCGATCTATCTAAAGTTAAGCTCTTCATTTGTACAGGTAGAACTCAAGACAAACACAGCTTTAAAAGGTAAGAAGAAGCTGGCCTTGCTTGAGAGAGTGTGTGCGCTGTGTGGACATAATGATAACCAACATGTGTTATAACAATATTGGGGGTTGTTTTGTGGACAGTCTGACCCTTAAACTATGATAACAAAACAAAGGTACAAAGAGATGTTTGTACATCTTAAATGGGTAATTTAGATTGATTATATATAAATGTGCCCTTAATAATGGAATGATGACTAAAACAGAATGAAATTTTGAATGTCACAGAAATACAAAGCATGCAAATAGACTAATTTTATTATATAAACTTGAGAAAAAAAAAAGAAAAAAAACCAAAACAATTTAATTAGGAATAACAGTCGACCAAGACAAATCAGTTCAAGCAATACTACACTCTAAAAAATGCTGGGTTGTTTTAACCCAATTTTGGGTCAAATATGGACAAACCCAAAATGCTGGGTTAAAAATGTAATGTAAAAATTTAACCCAACGGCTGGGTTAGTCCATATTTGACCCAAAGTTGGGTTAAAACAACCCAACATTTTTTAGAGTGTAGCAATGTTACCCCCCAAAAAAGAAGAGGATAGAATTCAGAGATTTTGAAAGTTAGATTTTGAAAATGGCAAGGCAGTATGAACTGTGCAAAAAAGGTTTCTATTGTCTTTGCAACCAAATCTACACCCTGGACACAATGTTCTGTCACCAGCTCATGCATAACCATTGATTTATATCACTTCATGACATAAGATATCTTGTTCTGTATAAAGATTTGGCTTGTGGTCGGTTAGTTTCACCTTTAAGCTTTAATGACTGATATGGAAGGACATTTAAAGTGGCTTAGAAAGCCTAAATATGGAATTTAATGCAACTAAAGGATTTGCTTTGGTGACTATTGTATTTTCTGTTTTCTATTCAAATGCTCTGGTTCAAAAACACCATAGCAATCCTTAACAGTTTTACACAGAAGCCCTAAATTAGAAATGTATATAAATGGATTTTTATTTCAGTTAGGATATATTGCAATGATATTTCCAGACATATGAATATTAGTAAAAAAAAAAAAAAACATACAATATTGTTACAATGATAGATTAATATTTCTAAAGCTTATCTTTGTATCCTCATGTATAACCTTCTTTTTTCAGACAGGTTCTCTCAGGACTTTTCATCAGGACTTTAGATAGTTCTACTTCAAGTATCTGTGTCCTTTATCTATTGCAGCACTACTGGGATTCCCATTTAAACCAACATGTCACAGTTCAGCACTCTTTCAGTGCGTGAGAGGAAGATGCAGGCAGCTGCCCTTTGCCATGAGGTTCATGGTGGTGCCAATGGTATAACCTTCTATTAAAACCTGCCCTCAGATCAGCACTGAATTATTAGAAAGCACACAAAATGTAGCTGCCTATCACAGAGAGAAACGCCAACATTTGGAAAGTGGTTCAGGGCCACAGCCTCATTCTAGCCATAAATAATCTTGTATGGATGTTCTGCTGCCTGCCAGTGGATTCACTCTGTCATTGTCATGAGCTATTTCTGCAGAAGCTAAAGTTGGATGGGATAGGACAGCTGTGTTGGAGCTGAAATGAGAAAAGAATAAAGATCATGTATAACAAGAGAGATTCTCCTGTTTAAACAAACACTGAAGTGTTTGAATCTTTTTAGGTGCAATTTTAAATGCTTTAGTAAACATTCTCACATTGAAACATCATTCCGTAACAATTAATGATGCACAAAATGAATGCTTTCTATTTTAGATATCATGTTAGGAATCATCATGATAAATGCTCCTGCAGCAAAAGCACATGACATCCAATTTTCCTTAACAAAACTTTCACAATCATCATGTTTTACCTGTTTATAATGAATTTATGATTAAATTGAAATGTTTTCCCCATGTGACCTGTCCAACCTGTCATAGAATCTGTCTAACACAGGCATCCACACTCACACTAAACCCTTTTGTATTCTCATTTTTTTATATCATGATATATGATGTGCTATATTTGAATAGATGATGAATATTATGAAGGAAATTACAGTTCACATACAGACAGACCCTATGACATTATAGTCCTGTAATCTTCAGTATTTAACATCCATATAATTTTAATAACGTCATGAGTCATGTATGTTCATTTATATAAAGCGTCATCCAAGAATTTAGATTATCCTTTTTCCATTCTGGCTCTGTTGAATTATTCTGTAATAACAAAAATGTTATATTAATGCAGGATTTACTATGGACCTGGGAAAGAAACTTTCCACTCCAAAGGACATCATGCTGGAGGAACTTTCTCTCTTGTCAAACCGAGGATCACGCCTTTTTAAGATGCGACAGCGAAGATCAGAGAAATACACATTTGAAAGCATTCAGAATGAAGCCAACACCATTTTAAATGTAAGACGCATTTACACAAATACACTGGCTTGAGACTACATGCATAATGAAGTCTATTTGCTTATATTGTGCACAAATCATTTTATGACAGATCAAAGGATGCAAATCAATGTAATAGCTACTGTGGTGCTGATAATAACAATAATATCTAAGCTAATAATGGCTTGAACCTCTAATTTGATGTTTAATTTGTCACTTGATCACTAACACTGAGCCTAAGACTAAACTGTTCTGTAATATAATTGTGATTTGCTTGTTTGAACTGTGTGTTTTGTTACTTTGTTAGTAAAGCCAGCATGTGCTCAGCTGAATGAATGGCAGACACACATGGAAGATAGCAAATGCCACGTGCCCCATGTCCTTCCAAATGTTCCTTCTTTAGGGTCAACACTGTCATGCGTCCCTGACAACCTTCATTTATCACTGTTCAAGTGTATGTGTGTGTGTGCCCATGCTCACTACTGTGTTTCAAAAAACAAACATCTACCTACTGCTCATGTCCCGCATAACAGTTTAATAACTACAAAAGTAAAATTTTGATCATTTTCACATTTTCATGGGACTGTTAAAGTTAAAAATAGACAAATTGTGTCAAATTGTCTCTTTTTTGTACAAAATGTTTTAAATTTAGATTGAAAAACTAAAACCACAATTTTATCATGATAATCTTTAATATGTCAGGTGGTATGTCATGTCTTTCATTTTTAATTGCCTTCCCTAATTTTTTTCCAAAAAAAAAAAAAAAAAATACAGTATGAATGTGATAAGGATGAGAATCTTGGGATGGCGTGACTGTTTCAGGTTTGAAGGAAGACATTGCCTTCAGTTTTATATTTTTAATTTTGACTGACTTTCTGGGTCAAAATATCGGCATGAACAACACAGCCTTTCTGCTGCCATCTGGATGCTTGTCAGTGTTTAAGTGGAGACATTAACATAAAATATTCTATTTATAACAAAATTACGAGTTGTCATGATTTTGGTATGTATATATTTACTAAAACGATGACTATTTATATATATTTTATTAAATTATTCATAAATGAAGTGAAAAAACACAAAACCAATTGAAATATAAAGATATGTGACAGGGTTGAGTGTGATGTGGTTGAGTTTTCTTTTTTTGTTGTTGTTAAAAATGGCCACTGGTCCATGTAGAATAATGAAAAATAGAATAATTATTCTCATGTAGAATAATTAAAAATTTTCCTTAAAAATATTAATAAAAAGTACCCAACCAAACTGCTGCCAAAAGCGCCTGGTTCCCTGAAGGAGGGAATGGTAACGTATTTGGGATCACCTCAGGTAGCTATCTTCTTCGAGTGTCTACAGAATGAGCCAATGAACATTGGCGTTCTTGAATCACGTCACGGGCCTCGCCCCACAGCGCGGGTGTAAACAGGAAGCACACATTTTTTTTTCCGCTGAGGAGCCAAGATCATGATGGCCATCACAGCGATTGTCATCAACAGTGGTGACAGTACATTACATTTCCCGTTCCCTCCTTCAGGGAATGATAGTTACATTAGCAACCGAGACATCCCCTTTCAGTTGCTCATGTTCGACATAACATACGTGACGACGTAATGGGGATCCCATGGAAAACGCCACGGTTGCTGCCATATGCAGTGTCCTATGGAAGACTCTCAGACACCCCAATTAGCTGGGGCATAAGGCTTGCATAGGGGAAGTTCAAACTCCTGTTCTTTTATAACCCACACAGTGGAACTCTTGGATAACACTGGGAAAGCGACCTGGTTGGGTGTGGTCGACTTCCTCTGGCTTGCTCCATGCTGAGGCCTGGATAGTGGCTGCTGAGGCTTCGTGGGTGTTACACGCGTGGAGTGTCGACCTCAGAGACGAGTGGACAGAGCTTCTGCGGCTGGTGAATGAGTGGGAGCAGCAGCGGTCCGCGGGGGCAGGATGTGTTGGATCGCCTCCATCTGCTTCTGGGTGACCGAGAACTGCTGGGCAAAGCTCTCTACCACATCACCGAATAACCCAACCTGAAACAGAGGGGCAACCAGGAAACGATACTTGTTGGTGTCCCTCAAATCAGCCAGGTTGAGCCAAAGGTGGCTCTCTTGGACCACCAAGGTGGACATCACCTGACCAACGGAACGTGCAGTTTCCTTCGTTGGCCGGAGAGCAAGGTCAGTCGCCACACAGAGCTCCCAGAGGACCGTATGACCGGACGAAAACTTACAAGCCATGGACTGGAGGCATGGATTGCCCCGCCAGGAGGAAGCGTCATGCAACACAGCCGAATTCTCATCTCCAGAGGACTGAAGCTCCCCCTCCGATGCTGGGATCGACATCTGATCGTCAGGTGGAGCCTTAAAGGACATGGCTGGCCATCCAAGAGAAGGGCCAGTGTGTTCCTTTGGAGGCTCCAATGGTGGCAGCGCTTGTGAGGCGTGAGGGGCCCACGGAGACTGCTCCTTTTTTCAGCATCCAGAAAAGCACAAGGGCAAATAACATCCTGAAAAAGATGCAGGGTCACACTTGTGTTGCTCTTGTTAGATAAAACAAAAAAGAAAAAGAACTCTTTCAGTCCTGAAGAGCCCAGGGGTAGCCGCAGTTTAAACGAGGTACACACTCAAGGAAGCGCACACCGAGACCAACACACACACACACACACACACACACACACAGTGCAGTGCTGTGAAAACAGCAGTTTGTGAGTTTAGATGCTTGCGGCCACTGCTGATCGCGCTGTCACACCAACACCAGAAGAAAGAGTCGTCTTGAAGAGTCTTCAGCATAGAAGCAGCTTTGCAGAACTCAGAAGTCAACAGAAGCCCAGCTCTGAAGTGAAAGACAATATGTTCATTGGCTTGTTCTGTAGACACCCGGAGATGATAGGGCTTCCTGAAGTGATCCCAATTACGTTGTCACATCAATGTTACGTCGAAAGTGAGCGACTAAAAGGGAACAATATCCCTTTCATGCCACTTTTTTTTACAATGTTAATTGAATTTAAAATAAAGAATATTCTAATATGGAAACAGTATTTGTATGTCTTGCTACAAACGCACAATAAGCTATGTCCAAATTGAAACTGACATTTTGTTTCAGAATGAAAATCAAGCAAATGCAGAAAACTCAGAAAATAAAGTTGCCTCAAAAACACCACCAAACACACCAGATCCCAGAAACCCAGCAAACCCAGAGGAAATTGCACCAGGTATGTCAAAATCACAATGCTTATAATGCACAGTTAAATCATGCTATGTTTAAAGGTGCTCTAAGGCTAAGCGACACGTTTTTTAGGCCAAAACAGTTTTTGTCACATACAGCAAACATCTCCTCACTATTGTCTATCTAACCTCCGTTTTGTTTGAAAATAGCTACTTTAAACGTCAACAAGAAGTCACGTCACCCGACATCGCTTAGAGCACCTTTAATATGACAATGTGCTAACAAGAACTAGAATTGTGTTACAGAACAAATTTTATTTCAAAACTTCTTCATTTGAAAAATGAAAACGTATTAATGGATGTCACAATGGCAGATGAGCCAGGATGATCGCAGTACTCTTTCTTGTTATATACCCTCACATGCTTGTAAGATGTTTTAAAAGCCTTGTATAATCTATGACAGTAAGTGCAATGGAATCAGAGAAGGTGAAAAGAGAATAAGATAGCGACAGCACATGCCACCCCCAACTTACTTTCTATTTTTAGTGAGTGAATCACTCTAAGTGACTTTAAAAGGGTTAAAAGGTATGTGTGTCGGTTTCACTATTCAACAAATGCAAGCTGCGTTTGCTATGTAAAATAAACTTGAAGTCCGTATTGTACTACTATGTCTAAGACAAAACTGGATTCAGACTTCTGCTTTAATCTCTCCAATTCAGTTTAGTTCTAATCCCTTTCATCTCAATTTAGGTTAATGCCTTTCAATTTAAACGGTGTGTTGTGTTCTACATAAGATATTCTTTACAGAGGGCCATCCAGAACTTAGCCTGATCAAATGATAACATGCAATCAAAGTCTAAACAGCAGAAACTGTTTCACAGGATATGGCGGTCCCTTGACAAACATTCCTCCAGAGAGGTTCAATGCAACAGCTATGCCAAAATCCTACCACTCCCCATGGGAAGAGGCCATCATCAATGACCCAACTCTGACTGACACACTTAAAGTTCACATGCCAGTCCCAGAGCCCAAACTAGAGCTGCCTGACTACAAAAGCTTTAACAGGTATTTAATTTTGTTCATTTTAGTATTTCCAACAAAAATGTCATGCTAATTTCAGAAAATGCGAATAGTTTTTTTTAAGGATAAGTTGGTTTATTTGATGTCATATTTATCATATTGTGTATTGACCGTTATTTTAACATTGTTATTTTTAATGTACGACACGCTGTTGAAAATTGTACAGTTATGCTGTGTGTTCAGTTCTGTAATAAAGTTTCTGCACATCACAGCACCATCTTGAGGAGATGAACAGGTGGTGAAGTTTAAAAATCCATTTATTAAATAATTCATACCTTAAAAATGTGTTCATGCCCTAAAATGTTTCGTAATTTATTGGAGGTCTGTTTTAAGTTTTTTTTTTTTTTTTTTTTTTTTTTTTTATTAAAATCAGCATAACAGAAACCAATACAGATGCCTCAGTAATTAAATCTCGGTTAAATCTCAGGGTGGCTACACCATTTGGTGGTTTTGAAAAAGCTCCACGAGGGATCACCTTCAAGCTTCCAGATGTTGATTTGAATGCTCCTCGATATCCTGAGCTCCAGGATCCTACAGCTAAGCGGCCCACTTTCAACAGGACTGCCCAGGGGTGGATCTCCGAAGGAATGCCTCTCATTTTACCCACTGTCTCCCTGGAGCCTTTCGAGATCCCTGAGTCTGAAGATCTGTAACACTGATTGAATTCTTCATGTCCCCCAAGCCCAATGAGCTTGACTGTGTTATAAGGTGTTTGTAGATGTCATCCATAGCTTCTGTTTGCAGGGCAGATTTGTGTTTTATTTCTTTTCTTTGTATGTTGGAGTGACTTTTGGACAGCTGTTCTTGGGGCAGGAATTTCCACTTTTTTAAATAATGGATGCCTCAAAAGTGAAGAATAAAATGGGAATTGAACAAAACAGTAATATGAGGCAGCATTAATAATCATCAGGATTAATACTTTTTGTACTGTTTGCAAAACAATAAGCATCCAGAAAGTATAAGAATATAAATGTGGTGTTTGTGCAATTACATAATGTATTGATACATTAAGGTGTCATAGTGATTTTCACTAACATTTTGCATGGTCATACTGTGAAACATCATCAGTATTCTAAGGTTGCAGTCATCTTTATCAGCAATATATTTAGTACAGCATGACATCATTTTGAGGTTGTAATTTTTTTGCACTCTAGGTTCCACACACACACACACACACACAAAAACTTTTTAAAATCATTCATTTCATTAACAAAATCAAATTGATCAGGGATAGGTCATTGGTTGAAAATGTAATGTAAATATAATATGTTGTGTTCCTGAAATCTTGTTTGAACTTATAATCTATTAATATATATTTCTGAAAATTAGTTTTGTGATGTTTTGGCTTATGTTTAACATTATATTCACAGTGTTAGAACCTTTGCTTGTATTGTAGCTCAAAAAATAAATTGCATATATATTTATATTAATTTCTGTCATTATTGTTTATATAGCATGGTCAACAACAACAGCAACAATAATAATAATATTAATAATAATAATAATAATGTTCCGCATGGTATTTTCACCTATACAGTCTATCAGCATAAATCATCATCATCCAAAACAGTCTCTGGAAGAATCTGTCTCAGTTACCCTGACATATAGCACACAGACATATCCTCTGACACTAGCTATATTTACAGGAGTCATAAGTAGCCTTGAATTTGACACTCTCTGCGCTACAGTTAGTTACAGTTAACACAAAGAATTCCAGACAGTTAGCAAATGCTTCCTTTTTGCTCTTTAACAAAACATGCATTGAAAAAACATTAGCTATTTTATACTAGAATAAAGACAATTAATAATCAATAGCATTACCCAAATATATACCATATTAGAACATACCCTAAACAACAACCAATACCTGTTTTAAGGGTGATGGGATATTCTTGTAATCTGTCAAGGAAGTTATTGCCTGCAGCCTGGTTTCACCTCATTATTATTGTTATTCACATCATTATTCATACAACAATGACCAACAAAAGCTAATTAGTCAGCAAAATATAGATAGACTCATATAAAATAAGGTAGTAGCGATATTAACTGTAAGCGTTGAGCTGACCAAAAACAGAAGGACAAGGCAAACTTTATCTGTCTGTGTACTGTTCAGTGAAAATCTTGTCTGATTTATGACAATAAAAATAAGATATAAAAATTGAATATATATATATATATATATATATATATATATATATATATATCAGCTTGCTCAAATAAAACAACATATTTCATCACCTTTAAGTCATTTTGCGCGTAGGCTAGATGATCTATTCTTTTGCCCTAGTTTCGGGTAGAATTGGTTTAGTGTTGCATAATTTTTTTGTTAATACCTCTGAGGTCATCCACGTCATAAAGTTTTAAGCTGGGGTAGGCTATCGTAGCCTATGTTTTGTATTCACAATTTTCTTAAAATGCGACTGTAATATAATAATAATATTATGATAAAATCATGTTAAAACATTAATATTGTTCTTTAAAATGCAATCTGTCTGTGATGCACCAATCACTACAACAATCGAAATGTCACATCGGTTGTTTTGGTTGGTCTAGTGAGAATATGCCTGAATCCACGCCCTCCAAACACGCGGGTAATTTCTGCGGAATGACAGTAAATATTGTTGCGATATGTGGGGCGGAGTCAGCGCGTCTAACTCCACGTCCATGAATAATCTCTCCAGCTCAAGACCTGAACGGATTAAACCTCAATGTTGATAGAATGAGGCAGGAATGCATGAACACAGATAGACACAGCGCTGCGGTGTTATTGTATTTAGGCCTGTAAGAGGATCTTTGACTATATGGATTTACTGCGCTTTATGGCATGCCGAGCAATGAAGGATTCCGACAGCAAGTAACTTGAGCTGGACGCGCACAACGAACTCCTTATACATACCGGTATGTGGATAAATACGCTTCTAAAGCAGGTTTTGAATATACTGGACACGTGTAGGTGAGCTGTGCTTGTTTATTAACGACTGTGTCTCAAAACCTAGCAAGCTGCCTACATTGACATCATTTTGTGGCATCAGGCGCGTTCTAATGCCCCAAAATGCTGCAGAGCAGGTCACCAGAAGCGCATGCGTAGTAACAAGTGTAACGGCATGCTGAGCGAATTTCTGGTTTTGTTTATCGTCTCACGTTATGCATATTTTTCAAGACAACACAGTAATTGATGGTTAATAACTACTTAAAAGGAGAAAGCACATTTTTTTAATGGCTGTATCGTTGACACAATGCGAATGACATTCAGAAGAGTGCAATTTTGAGCTCAAATGGTCACCCAGATCTGTGTTAACATTTTTCGGACAGTTCTGTCACTTTCCGTGTTTTTAATGTTCGTTTAAAAAGAAAAAAAAAAAATGACAGTAAAAATAAAAATAACAGTAGCCTACCACGAATAGTTAGTTGTTCTGCACTCTTGTTTTAATGATGAAGAGCAGCAAATAAATTTAATAAGACATAGCCTAGTAAGCCTACAGTAGGCTATTTACAATGATGAACCCCAAAATATTATATATCACACATGACAACCACACACATTATCCAGAAAATCCTTAATTTTTTTTATTTTATTTTTTTAGTATGAACAGGCTAGGAATTCAGCATCAGTGCTGCAGCTGCCTACAGCCCATCATCTTCATGCTGTAGCCATGGCAATGGTCCAGCATTTACAGTATACTGCATCATTGCAGCAACAAGTTATACATTCATCCTAACCCTGGGCACTGAGGCTCTGGAAGAGGATTGCCCCATTGCATAGAAACCAGTCAGATTTCCTTAACAGTCAGCCTCAGACATCATGACACAGCTAATCTTCTGGAGTAGTTCACTTTTAAAAAAACTTTTGCTGATAATTTACTCACCCCCACATTATCCAAGATATCCATGTCATTCTTTCTTCAGTCGAAAATAAATTAAGGTTTTTGATGAAAACATTCCAGGATTTTTCTCCATATAATGCACTTTACTGGTAACCAAACGGTTCAAGGTCCAAAAGACAGTTTCAGTGCAAACTGCAAACTGTTCGAAGGTCTTTAAACAATTTCAGACGATGAATAAGGGTCTTATCAAGTGAAACGATTGCTGATTTAAAGAAAAAGTTTAAGTCTTATAAGGTCAAATGGTCGCCTTGCTCTGTTCTGTGATGTGCATTCGTGACTCTCTTGTTCAAACTCGATTATCAAAATGAACAAATCTTTTTTCGTGTCATTTGATTCATTCAACGAACGAAATGAACGAATTGACTCGGAAAAAGAATTTGTCCTCTTCACCTATTCAAGTTAGTGCTCACACATTTTCAGTGAATAGTGAACACACACACACACACACACACACACACACACACACACACACAGCAAACCATGGACACAAACGCAATGAGCAGTGGGCAGCCATTTTGCCGTGGCACCCAGGGAACGGTTTGGGGTTAGGTGCCTTGCTCAAGGGCACCTTAGTCATTTTCTGCAGACCGAGAATCAAACCTGCAACCTTCAAGTTGACTCGACTCTGTAACCATTAGGCCACGACTGCCAAATGTTGTGTATGTTGTGTATAGTCTCATAAATTCAGATGACTGTGTTGTGAGAGAGTTAAAAAAAAACATCCTGTAATGAAATATAGTTGGCAACTGTGCTGAATATGTTCTAAAACCAAATATGTGGCTCTTAATTATAATAGCACCAGAGTTCAGTAAAACGGCTATAGTATTCTAAAGTAGCTTTCTATTTAACAACATTTGTTTTCCATATCACTCCCCTTCTGTACCCCAACCTCTTCTCTGTGTGTCTCTCCTTCTCTGTAGGTCTTCCTTTGTTAGCCTGTGATGTTCTTCAGTGGCCTGAGGAGCCTTTATGAATGACCCCATTCAATGACCTCCATTGACTTTGCTGGAAATGCTGAGGAGAGTAATGGATTTGTTTTTCTATCTACATCCATCCTCTTATTGCCAGTGTGCCTGGATGCAGATGAATCCTCACATACAGAGGAGACAGAGTGTGCTCATTGTCATAGTAACTGCTGGACTGATAAAGCAACGTCCTGCAACTTGTGGCTAAAAGTCACATTATCACATTATTTGAAGAGCTACTGAAAATCTTGCACATTGAAAAAAAAAATACAGTGCAGTATATTTTTGCAATTTTTGTGAAGTTGGTATTCTCTGTCAGGTACAGGGACTGTGGCACTAATGTCGTCTAAAACAAATGCATCAACCTCAAGTTCCTTCAGTAATTGACTCTGGTTGTTTGCTGGGGAGGGCCAGGCTCCAACCTCATGGCATGGGTCAAACTTTTTAAAAAGCCTGGAGGCAACATGGCTGGGACAGGTACAGGTGCCTTGAGTGGAACAGGGCTGGGCAAGTCCTACCAGCCGGGCAGTATGATCTCTCTCGCTTTGACCAAAGGTCTTCTAAATGAGCCAGGCCAGAACAGCTGCTTCCTTAACAGTGCTGTGCAGGTGAGTAAAGTTATTTTAAAAACGTGAGCAGATGTCTGATTTAACTAATAGATAATATAAAACATTTTCTGTTATGGGGTTGCTTATATAAGCAGCTGATGTAAGTAGCAGATGTATTTTTAAGAAATGGAGCCCTATCTTGCACCTGGCGCAAATAACTTTGTACACTGACGCATTTATCATTCCTATTTTGCACCCGGGCTTTTCCCTCCACAGACGCACGTCAGTAAACTAGGAAATGAACTTGTGCTCCCTCGGCGGGTCGGCGCAAAAATGAGGCGTTTCGGTGCAAATATTCCCTAGTGCTATTTTACAGTTCCAGAAAACAATTCAGCCACTGACCAGACAAAAACTAGTCTAAAGTCAGTGACACGTTGCGCGTTGTTCATAATGCTATTTTAAGCGTGCAAGCTTGGACATTATAAAGTGGGTGCACAATGCGCATACAGTACACTTTGATTCTCTCATCAACACAGATGCAGCAGTTTTTATTTTGCCAAATCATACATTATAACAAGGAAACATATTAACACATGAGGGAAATCATTGTGGTGTCCACGAATATGTAAAAAATGTAGGCCTAAATCTAGCTTACACATTTACCCAAATTGTTCAGGTTTAATTGTAGTGATGACTGATCAATAGTGGCAAGACACATATGTATATAATGTTTAACCGACGCTGATTTGGGTGGTTTCTCCCATCCCCATAGAACGTCACTTCTGTCTTTCACTGCCCTGACAAGAACGTTGGTCTCCTCGGCTGTGAACCGCTCCAGCCTCCAACGCCTGGTAAATTTGCCATAATAACAATCCGCCATGCAACATGCGCACCTGCTCTTAAAGGGTTAGTTCACCCAAAAATGAAAATTAAGTCATTAATTACTCACCCCCATGCTGTACCAACCCCGTAAGACCTTCGTTCGTCTTCGGAACACAAATGAAGATATTTTTGATTAAATTTGAGAGCTGTATAACTACCACATTGGCTCCTAAGGGACTGCCTCTTGACGGCCCAGAAAGTCAATGAAGAAAATGTTTAAACATCCCAAGTGACTACCGTGGCTCAACTATATGTTTATCAAGCGACGAGAATACTTTTTGTGCGAAAAAACAAACAAAAATAATGAGTTTATTCGACTATTCCTTTTCTTCCTTGTAGGCCAGAAACGAGACTTCCTTAGATTTCCACGACGCATGCGCGAGAATTGCGATCTCCTTACACTCCTTCAGTTCAGTTCTCGCGCATGCGTCGTGGAAATCTAAGGAAGTCTCGTTTCTGGCCTACAAGGAAGAAAAGGAATAGTCGAATAAACTCATTATTTTTGTTTGTTTTTTCGCACAAAAAGTATTCTCGTCGCTTGATAAACATATAGTTGAGCCACGGTAGTCACTTGGGATATTTAAACATTTTCTTCATTGACTTTCTGGGCCGTCAAGAGGCAGTCCCTTAGGAGCCAATGTGGTAGTTATACAGCTCTCAAATTTAATCAAAAATATCTTCATTTGTGTTCCGAAGACGAACGAAGGTCTTACGGGGTTGGTACAGCATGGGGGTGAGTAATTAATGACTTAATTTTCATTTTTGGGTGAACTAACCCTTTAAAGGGTATGACGCTCTGATTGGTTTATTTCACGTTACGCCCAAATAGGGCTGTCGCGGTAACGGAAATATTGTATTACCGCGCTTCTGACAAGTCAACCGCAGAGGATTGCACGTAACCGCAGCAACCGCGATATTCACGTTTTTTTTTATAAAGCTATACCCTTCTTGTTTTGAACTTAATGCATGTCTATTGAATGTTAAACAAGTTCATAATGATAACAAGACTGTTTATCATGGTGATGTGTAGCCTACAGGCTTCACACAGACAGTGAATGAGAGAGATCGGCAGAGCGCGTGCAATTACCTGTCTTTGAAGTCGTGAAAAGCTTGTCGTGTCAAAGGGAAGCGAAATATTTGTCGCATCATCATTTTAACGTTCTCTTCACGGGTATTTTCCCATAAATGTGCGTCAGCAGCAGCGCTAGTCACGCATTAAATCAATGCTATATGGGTCTCTAATAAGCGAAGCATCAGCTTCAGCGTTGCTCATGCGCGAGTGAAAGTCTTTCAATGCGCATATACTGTAGACGCTGTTTAGTTTCGGTTACATTGGTTACTGAAAATGTCCTCATTTTTGTCCACATCGTAAACTTTATTTATATAGCAGCAAATACATATAAATTAAATAAATAAATAAATGGCGGTAATACCGCATATCGCGCTATTGAGCCACTCAACATTACCGCAAGGGAAATTCCATAACCGCGACAGCCCTACGCCCAAACCACACATATGACCCTTTTAAACTGGCGTCGGGCGCAAGAGTCATTTATCACGCCGGTAAAATAGCAACAGCGCCCAAGACCCGCCCACAAAGTTACTTGCACTGCGCGCTTAATACTTACGTTTCAGAAGGTTAGTAGGGCCCATGGTGTCTTTATAGCAAACTGTGGTTCCATTAAGCGCTTTTATCATCCATGGAACCTTACTATTACAAAATAGGATCTTTATAGTGTAAAAAGTTTCTTTATATTTATTCTGTTCACCGTATGGTTCTTTTGGGAACCAAAACGTCTCGGTTACGTATGTAACCCTCGTTCCCTGAGTAGGGAACGGAGACGTTACGTCAGAAGTGACGGAGATTGGGGGTTTCGCATAGAAAGCCAATCCTCTTCGAGTATTAAAACACGAGCCAATGGCATGCAATGCCTTGGGGCTGCGGAAATTTGCATAGCGTACTCCGCCCTACTCCGTGAGTATAAAAGGAGGAAGTGAACGCAACCGCAGTATGTCTTCGCTGAGGAGCCAAGACTGAACTCGGCCTCTACCCAGCGATACAGCAGAAGTGGCAGGGAGACGTAACGTCTCCGTTCCCTACTCAGGGAACGAGGGTTACATACGTAACCGAGACGTTCCCTTTCGTAGTCACTTCGAGTTACGTCAGAAGTGACGGAGATTGGGGGTCTGTGCCATCACGCCAACTTCAGGCTGTCTTCCAGTGCCCTGCGAAAGTCTAAACCCCCGAGCCTTACCTGTTTTCCTTAGGGGATCCGACTTAGACACAGGATTACCAAGGTACACTGGGAAACATATCCCGAAGGGGACATGCTACCAGCTGCCTACCGAAGGGAGGACTTACGAATACACATATGGCCACATAGAAACACATATGGAATCACTGGAGCACCAACCGCAGGTGGCTACTAATTTCAGCTCCAGGGGTGGCAGATGGCTTGCCAAGGGAAGACACATGCTCAGAGAGGCTTACAGTGGATAATACACATGAGACGGTTACCAAGGGGGAACCGTACGCATGGAGGCACCTAGCCAGCATCCAGAGCCACAGCAGTGGTGCCCGCATCGTCGGTGCTGGAGGACTCAAGGCTTCAATGGAAGAGCTGAGGAAATATCGCACTTATCCAGTCCGGGGAGTGGAGTGGCGAGCAAGCGAAGACACCTGAGCGGATCCAGAACTGGCCGAAACGAGTACGTGAGAGGATACCGGCTCAATTCGCAGATTATAGAATCTGGCGAAGGTGTTGGGTGTCGCCCAGCCTGCAGCTCTGCAGATGTCTGTTAGCGAGGCGCCGTGCGCTAAAGCCCAAGAGGAGGCTACACTCCGAGTGGAATGGGCCGTCACACCAAGGGGGCACGGAAGGCCTTGCTGCTGGTAAGACAAAGTAATGGCATCCACTATCCAGTGGGACAGCCGTTGCTTTGAGAGAGCCCTTCCCTTCTGGCTCCCCCCATGACAGACAAAGAGCTGGTCTGAGGTCCTGAAACACTGCGTTCTGTCGACATAGGTGCGGAGAGCACGTACCGGACAGAGCAGTGCCAAGGCTGGGTCTGCCTCCTCCAGGGGCAGCGCTTGCAGGTTCACCACCAGGTCCCGGAGGGGAGTGGTAGGAACCTTGGGCATATATCCAGGCCGGGGTCTCAGGAATACGTGAGAGTAAGCCGGCCCGAACTCCAGGCACACTTCGTCAACAGAGAGTGCGTGCAGGTCCCTTACTCTCCTGATGGATACCAATGCAATCAGGAGTGCTGTCACATAGGACAGGGCAAAAACTCTACCGACTGCAAAGGCTCCAGGGGAGGCCTCTGCAGAGCACCCAGGTCTACTGAGAGGTCCCCAGAGGGCAGGAGGGGAGGGAGGCGGATTTAGCCCCCTCACTCCCCTCAGGAACCTGATGACCAGGTCATGCTTCCCATAGACTTACCTTTCACTGCATCATGAGACGCGGCAATGGCCGCGACATAAATCCAAAGGGTGGAGGGCGACAGCCTGCGCTCCAACCCCTCTTGCAGGAAGGAAGCATGACTCCGATCGAACATCTCCGGGGGTCTTCTCAGCGAGAAGAACACCAATTGACGAAGAGGTTTCACTTCAACGCATAAAGGTGTCACGTGGACGACGCTCTTGCGGAAGTGATGGTTGCCGCCACCACAGGTGGCAGCGAACTCAAACCTGCCTCGTCCCGTCCTGGAGCCACACGTGCAGCCTCCAAGATCGGGACGAGGGTGCCACAGAGTGCCCCGTCTCTGAGAGAGTAGGTCCGGTCTCAGAGGAATAGGCCACGGAGGTGCTGTCGCGAGGAGCAAGAGTTCGGAGAACCACGTCTTGGTGGGCCAGTAGGGGGCTACCAGCAAGACCTGCTGCTCGTCCTCCTTGATCTTGCACAACACCCGTGCAAGGAGGCTCACTGGGGGAACGCACACTTGCGTGGGCCCCGTGGCCAGCTGTGCGCCAGCGCATCCGAGCCGAGAAAGCCGCGGGTCAGAGAATAAACTGGGCGCAGTGGGACGAGTCCCGAGAGGCGAACAGGTCTAACTGTGCCTCCCCGAACTGGTCCCAAATCAGCTGGACCGACTGGGGATGGAGTCGCCATTCGCCGGAGATGGGACGGGCCCGGGACAGCTCGCGGCTGCCCGGTTCCGGTCTCCAGGAATGTAACTGCACGAAGGGACCTCAGGTGCTTCTGACTCCATATCAAGAGGTGGCGGGCGAGCTGCGACAACCGGCGCGAGCGTAGACCCCCCCTGGTGGTTGATGTACGCTACTGCCGTAGTGTTGTCTGAGCGGACAAGCACATGCTGGCCCTAGAGCACGCTCGGAAGCGGTGCCGGGCGAGCCGTACTGCCAACAGCTCGAGGCAATTGATGTGCATGAGGCGCTGGGCTCCTGTCCAGGAACCGGCGGCTGCATGCCCATTGCACATGGCACCCCAACCCGTGGTAGACGCATCCGTGGAGACAACGAGATGCCTGGAAACTCGCTGAATAGGGACCCAGTCCGTAAAAAGCTGAGGTTCGACCACGGGAAGAAGGATCGGCGGCACGTCGGAGTCACTGGAACTCGGAGCGAGCCGCGATGCCATGCCCACCTCGGGACTCGATCGCGAAGCCACAGCTGAAGCGGTCTCATATGAAGCAAACCGAGCGGCGTTGCCGCGGCCGCGGATGCCATATGCCCCAGGAGCCTCTGAAATAGTTTCAGTGGAACCGCACTCTTGCCCTCGAACTGTCGAAGACAAGCCAGCAGTGAGTGCGCGCGCTCGTTCGTGAGCTGCGCGGACATGGCGACCGAGTCTATCTCCATGCCGAGAAAAGAGATCCTCTGCACGGGGCAAAGTTTGCTCTTTTCCCGGTTGACCCGAAGGCCCAGACGGGCTAGGTGCCGTAGCACCAGGTCTCTGTGTTCGCAACCCTGAGCCCGAGAGTGTGCTAGTAACAGCCAGTCGTCGAGATAGTTCAGGATGCGAACCCCGTGTTCGCGAAGGGGAACAAGGGCTGCCTCGATGATCTTCGTGAAGACGCGAGGGGACAGAGCTAACCCGAATGGGAGAACGGCGTACTGGTATGCCTGGCCCTCGAAGGCAAACCGAAGAAACGGTCTGTGTCGAGGGAGAATGGAGACATGGAAGTACGCGTCCTTCAGGTCGATCGCTGCAAACCAATCCTGATACCGAACACATTCGAAAATGCGTTTGGCCGTGAGCATTTTGAACGGTAGTCGATGGAGAGAACGGTTCAAAATGCGCAGGTCCAGGATCGGTCGTAACCCACCGGTCTTTCTTGGGAGGGGCATCTGAGAGCAACCGCCGGTTGACCGGGGGAGCCCCAGCGTACCCACAGACAGCCGCATCGCCGAGGGGAGGAAGGGCGGGGAACTAAGCACGTTTTTTTTTTTTTTTTTTTTTTTTTTTTTTTTTTTTTTTTTTTTTTTAGTGCGTGTCAGTTCCGCATGCAACTCGGGGAAAAAAGGAAATTGGGGTTGGCCGTGGCCGTAAGGCGGCAGCGTTACCCAAAAACCAATTATTCAGCCGCGAGAGATCGGGGAGGGGCGGAGTTCCACCCCCACCCGATGCTCACGGACGCCCGAGACAGCACGGCCATCATCGCGGGATCAGACACGGCGGCGCTGACGCTCCCGAGGGAGGCAACGCGGCCGCATCCTCACTTCCCGAGGAGTCAAGCCCGCCTAGTGATGCTGCGATCGACATCGCATCATCATCTGGAGCGCTGCCCGAAGCAGCCGGTGCCACCGAAGAAGCAACCGACTGAATCGAACTAACGCTCGCTGGCTCTCGCACTGAGGCGGGAGGTGTGGCCCGAGGAATCGTCGGGGCTTATCCCACACCATCACCGTAAATCACCAGGTCCCCGGGTCGACGGGCCCCCTATGGAGGAAACCGATCGAGCGGGGGGACCGGGACTCTCACTCAAGTGAGATCATTGAGTCTCGACCTCAGTGTAGAGATGGTCATGTTCCCACAGAAGGAAAATGAGTCATCCACGAACGCTGCTGCTGCATGCTGAAATGCCCAGGCATACAAAGCAGCGATCGTGACCATCAGATGACGACAGAAATCAATCACACCCAGAAGAGCACGGGCGAACCGTCTTTAAAAAGACGTGCGCGTGCAGCTCTTTCAATGAGAGGAGGAAATTCACTCTTTCAGCGCTGAAGCGACCAGGGAGAAGCGCAAAGTCTGGCAGACCACTGCTCAGATCGCAGGCGATGCAGAATCTCGCTGGGTACCGCCGTCACACCAACACTGAAGAGGACGCTCGTCTCGAAGAGTCTTGAACAGTGCTTTCAGGAGTGAAGAGGTTCTCTTGGCTCCGAAGCGAAAAACATACTGCGGTTGCGTTCACTTCCTCCTTTTATACTCACGGAGTAGGGCGGAGTACGCTATGCAAATTTCCGCAGCCCCAAGGCATTGCATGCCATTGGCTCGTGTTTTAATACTCGAAGAGGATTGGCTTTCTATGCGAAACCCCCAATCTCCGTCACTTCTGACGTAACTCGAAGTGACTACGAAAGGGAACAGTTCTTCTATGTCGCTACTGTGAAAACCCTGTATAAACCATATGCAGAATAGTTCTTAATTAAGCAGTATTAAGGGTGCAACAAACATTTTACATGGTACACTGTAACAGGCTGATTATAAACAAAATAAAGACCACTTTCTTACAGGTTCTTTGGCAGCTTGACATCTTTAGGAGGAGCATACGACACCTATCTGGCCATTTCTGCTTGGGAGATGCCTGTATTTTCTGTGCTTTAAAGGTGCGCATGTGAAGGCTAAAATGTCTCATATTCTAGTGATTTTCCTACCTAGACAACATTAAAAACAACATGAAAATTGTCTCAACTTGTAAACATGTATTTATTGTACCTTTTAAAGTTGGCATTGCAATCATCTTCCCAATTGTGATATACACAGATGAACCAAAACATTATGATCACCTGCCTAATATGCTGTTGGTCCTTCATGTGCTGTCAAAACAGTGCCGATGGACTCTATAAGACTCCTGAAGGTGTCCTGTGGTATTTGGCACCGAGACTTTTGCAGCCGATTGCACATTGGATTGAGATTTGGACAATTTTGAGATCAGGGCAACCCCTTGAACTCTTTATCATGTTCCTCAACAATGTCTGATTCCTGAACAATGTGTGCAATGTGACAGGATGCACTATCCTGCTAAAAGAGGCCACTTCAACCAGGCCACTTACACCAATGTCATGAATGGGTGTACCTGTTCTCTTACAGAGTTTATGTAGGTGGCACGTGTCAAATTTACATCCATATAAATGGCCGGACCCAGGGTTTCCCAGTAGAATATTGCCCAGAGTATCACACTCACTCCACTTTTGTTTTCCCACAGTGCATCATGGTGCCATCACTTCTCCAGGTCCACGTGATGTAAAAGAAAATGGCACTCATCGGACCAGGCGATCTATTTTCCACTGTTCCAAAGTTTAATTCCGGCACTAGTGTGCCCATTGTAGGCGCTTTCGACAATGGACAGGGGTTGTCCGATACACTCTGATTGGTCTGGGGCTACGCAGCCCCATATGCAGCAGAGTATCATGCACTGTGTGTTGTGGCACATTCCTCTCATAACCATCATTACAATTTTGTGTGACTTGGGTAAAAGTAGAACATTTGTTGGCTCTGACCAAATGGGATAGCCTTTGTTGCCCTCATGCATCGATGAGCCTTGGGCGCCCAACACCCTGTCACCAGTTTTTGGATTGTCCCTTTTCTGACCACTGTTGGTAAATACTGTTTACCAGTAGCAATCCACATGCCTTGCCATTACTGAGATACTTTGATCCATTTGCCTTGCCATAACAATTTGTCTCTTTTCAAAGTCAGTCAGATCTTTATTCTTGCCCAGTCCATGTGTTCAATGTGTTCAACACTGATTTGGAGAACTGATTGTTTGCCAATGACCTTAATATGTGACCTTATTAGGAGAGGATCAACACTATTCACTTAACCTGTGACTGGTAATAATGTTTTGGCCCATCAGTGTATATCAGGGTGGCAAAAAAAATTAGGGTGTGATATTATTTTGTCCATCGGGAATTGATTGGATCAATTAAGTGGCTCTTGGATTGTTAGATCATTGTTGTTTGCTAAGTTCCGCACTAATGTGCACATTTAAATAATTTATTGATATTCCATAAAACATATTTGTCAATTTTGATTTCATAGTGACATAAAGATCTAATTTTGACCAAATTAGGGTATCTTAGACAACCAAAGTTAACATGACACACATTATCACATAATCAGATTTGCATATCTTACAACAACGTTTTGATACTCTTTTTCACTGAACACTATTGCAATTCTGAATTGTGTGTACGCCATTGATGAGTTTGTACATGAGGTTAATTTGGCTGTTTCTTTTTACAGAGCATTTTCTGTCAGTTCCAGCAGAGTCGAGAGCGGGCTCTGCCATCAGACACCCTGCGTCACGCTCTAGCCGAGACCTTTAAAGATGAGCAGCGCTTCCAGCTGGGCCTCATGGATGATGCAGCTGAGTGTTTTGTATGTCTGACTTCAGAGATAAAATCTGTTTATATCACCATTTACTTTTCAAAGGTGAACTCTACATTGTGTCATGGAGTTGATGCTATGGGAATGCTCCTTGTTAGCCTGTGTCTGAAGCACATGTGCTACACGCCTATCTTGATTGGCTACCGCTGTCAGGTGACATCACACGTTCACCAGCAGGGTATATAAGGGCTTCTAGAAAGGACTTCATCAGCTTATTTGTCTTCAGTTTGTTTACAAGCTGTGTGTGAATTGTCTGTTTGTTTGTCTGTTGTCTACAGGGATGCAAACAGAACGCTTTTCGGCGCCACCCGCTTTTTTCACGTCAGTTTGGGTGACTTGTGTGAATTGTGCAGATCCGAAGAGATTTTTGTGGGGGTGGGGGGTGTCTGATTATAATTTCACCAATAATAATTCTGGATTGCCTCCACCAAACAAGTATATAGGAAATAAGCAAATCAGAACACTGCGGGCCAAAACAGCAGTATGCTTGCAAGTGTAAACCACTAATGTTTCTTCCACTAACTCTTGGCCTTATTGGAGGTAGCTCATGCTCACTGTGCAGAAACGCGCCCGCGAGTGGATGGCACTCAGCGCGTGCATACTGTTTTTTGCCCTCGTATCCTGTGCGCGAGTTTTGAGACTAAATAAACGCCGTAGGGCCGGTAAGAGTTCGCTATTTCAAATGTAGGCACAAACTCTTACCCTATGTACATACTCAACATGTATGTACATACAAACATGTACATACATGTTGCTCACATATGATGGTAGCCCTGTTTGTGCTAAATAGAGTGTAATTTCAACTGTGCCATTAATATGTTTATAAGCAACTGAAAAAAGTACAAATGTCAGGGCATGTCAGAACATCTCAAGGACCCCAAATACACTTTCGTCCCCTGGGGGTTAATGACGTCCTCTTTAGGTGCCCATAACCCTCTGGTGTCTAAGGTGTTTTTGGGGTCCTGGAGATGTTTTGACATGCCCTGACATTTGTGGGTTTTTTTTTTCAGTTGCTTATAAACAAATTAATGGCACAGGTTAAATTACACTCTATTTAGCATAAACAAGGCTACCATAAGATATGAACAACATATAAGTACATGTTTGTATTTTTGAGAGAATATTGTTTAAGCATGGTTATTGACAAAATTAAAAATGAAAGTTTCTGAAATAAGGCCACAAAACACATACTAAATATGAGACTTTTGACTAAGGAATGTTGTCACCTAGAGATTTTGCCTCAAACTGCCTAATCATTCACATAAAACAATAGATTGTTTTAAATTGTGAAAAAAACATTTTTTTTGTTTGTAAAGGCAATATGCGAATGGACATGAACGGCCCAACAGCCTCATCATGAATAATTATTATTAAATATTGGCCCATATTACTGATAGGATAGCGCCTTGCAGTTGATGGAGATTTGTGGGATGCACATCCAGGACACGAAGCTCCCGTTCCACCAAGACGCTCTATTGGGTTGAGATCTGGTGACTGTGGGGGCCATTTTAGTATAGTGAACTCATTGTCATGTTCAAGAAACCAATTTGAAATTGAGCTTTGTGACATGGTGCATTATCCTGCTGAAAGTAGCCACCAGGCTCATTTAAGCGATGCCCAACTGGCACTAAGGGGCCTAAAGTGTGCCAAGAAAACATTCCTCACACCATTACACCAGCCTGCACAGTGGTAACAAGGCATGTTGGATCCATGTTCTCATTCTGTTTATGCCATATTCTGACTCTACCATCTGAATGTCTCAACAGAAATTTAGACTCATCAGACCAGGCAACATTTTTTCAGTCTTCAACTGTCCAATTTTGGTGAGCTCTTGCAAACTGTAGCCTCTTTTTCCTATTTGGAGTGGAGATCAATCAAACACACTTGATTCAACTCATCAGCTCATTAACCCATGTGATTATGAGCTGATGAGTTGAATCAGGTGTGTTTGATAAGGGAGACAAAGAATACGTGCAGTGTTGGTGTGCCATCAGGAACAGGGTTGGGAAACACTGGATTAGATAATTGAACAGGTGTTCCTAATAATCCTTTAGGCGAGTATATATATATATATATATATATATATATATATACATAAAAATGAAAGTCAAAAGCACAATTTTAGTGATACCTGGAAACAAATCCTGTTCAAATAGGTTATATGGGCCATTCTATAGAATTGGTTCAAAGTTAATCTTGAAAAGAAAATTGTCTGTTTCCATAAATCTCTTATAAAGTATTATTTTTTAAAGTAGGCCAATACATTTTATCATACATATTTCAGAGTTAAGGATTCATTATTTTGATAAAGCCTAGCTTGCTCTGGAACAAACACTATAACAGTTGATTTGTTTATTTTTGACAAAACATTCTATTTATTTAACATGAGCAGAAACTGTCTAACAAAAGCTTATTTGATCTCTATTTTAGAGTACAAAAGCTTATTTGATGTCTATTTTAGAGTAAAAACTTTATAATCTATCCAAAACTAATTAACAACTAACAAATCTCATTAGGCTATAGCAATATAGTTTGGATGTGTTCATGTAAAAATAACATTTACTAATGTAGCAAGAGTAAATGAACAAAAGATGCGTTATACATAAACAACATCCTCCGCGCCTCTGTGCCGTTCATTCATTCACACGCGGACATGCAATTCATATTTAAACAACCTTTGTGCAGTTTACAGACACTATTCAAAAATGCGATTAGAACAAAGCACTTTGTTCTGCTTTGTGGGGCTAATCTAATCACGTTTTTAGTAAGAATAAATAACTTACTACGTCAGCTGAATCCATTGCTCCTGGAAATTAAACTACCAGTTTTATCCAGCTGATGTGGGTGTTTTCATGGCTTGCCTCAACATTTGCCCTTGAATAACGCATGCAGTGGGCGTTGTCACATTAACACGTTATACGCTATAATTAGCTGAAAGGAAAAAGACTGACATGTCTCTCTCTTGGATATCTGCTTTTTATATAAATTACTTAATTTAAAAGAAGAGAATTCCTGTTTCATAAAAAAAGATCTTTCGTGCCTTACGGTTTGTTTTTTGGACACGTTTCAGAATGAACTTCACTGACAGAGAGATGGCAAAATTTGCATAGTTTGCATAAAAAATAGACATTTAGCAGGATATTAGGATGTACAACACAGTATGTAAGATCAAAATCAACAGAGTAATTTTAGTCTTTTTTGCACTGATAAGGAAAAAAGTGAGCTTGTCGCGCCGACGTGATAGCCGACCCCAGAGGGTTAAATACCCTGATGGCGCATCTGTGATTTTACCTGACCATGGTAGCCAATCAAGAAAAGTGGAAAGGTCAAAGACAAAGAGGTTTATATATCATCACTATGTCAACTGATTTCATTTGATCAGTGGTCTAAGCCAGTTTTTGCAGTGTCTTGCCTACATTTTTGGGTTACACTTTATTCTAAGGTGACGTTGTTACAGTGTACTTACACAGAGAATTAGCCTACTGAGTACTAATAATTAATTAGTATAAGGTTAAGGTTTGGGGTGGTTTAGGGTTGCCTGTAATTATGCATAATTTACTATTACTACTATAGTAAGTGCGTACTGTATAACTTATGTAACTGCATAATCCCTTAATAAAAAGTATTTCCAGTGATTTGCATTGTATAGTAAAAGTTGAACAATAGAATTAAAGGGATATTAAAGGCAGAGTTCACCCACTAGGCTTTATTTATTTATTTATTTATTTATTTTAACTTGTAATGCCACTCCTGTCCACTTGTTTGATTAAATATTTTGATAAACTAAATGGGAAATGTGGTAAATGGCATAAATAGTATGAATATATTGTTCTTATACAATTTTCTATGGTATCAATGTTGGATGTGGTTTAAATGCATTGTCCATTTGCTTATTCCATGAGCGATCTAAAATAATTTCCTTTTCTTTCTGTGAATAATTTTAATCTATTTGATGCCATTAATGTGCTTCATTTTAAGTAGCTGTTTTGTGTTGTTTGACCGACTTTATGGTAGGTTGATGTCAACAATAATAACGACGATTGTTAAAAATAACATGAATAAGTATTAGAACAGCCTAGAACTAAGAATAACTGATTCATCACTGATCATTGTTTCTTTTATTGTTTTGTTTTTGCATCTGTTTTGTAAACTTTGGGAGACAGGAGAACATTCTAGAAAGGATACACCTGCACATCGTTTCTGACTCATCCACAGAATTTTGTACTTCCAAATCATGCATCACTCACCAGAAGTTTGCCATGACTCTCTATGAGCAGGTACTATGGTGTTTTTTCCCTTTTTTCTAAAAAATGTTTGTCTTTCAATCATAAAGTTTTTTGTTTAAAAACCTCACTCCACCTTTACTGAAGTTTATTTCCCTCTGTAGTTTGTTTGTCGTAGTTGTGGAGCATCATCAGACCCCCTCCCTTTCACTGAGCTTGTGCACTATGTGTCCTCCACGGCCCTCTGGTGAGTGAAATAATCTCCTGTAATTTATTCCTCTCCTGGAGAGCAAATCTTTTTCAATCAAATCACAATATTTTATGTTTGTTTCTTTATTTTTTTTTTGTATGAATAGTGCCAGTGTGAGGATCCAATTGATCCATTTTAACCATCATGAATGCATTCTTTGGGAGAGACAAAAGTTAAATTCTGACACAGATAGAAATAGCTTCACTGAAAATTCTGACTGATAGCTAAAAGCTTCACCGAAAACAACATTGTTTGCATTGAAGGATTACTAAGTGGAAAAGAGCAAAGTCTGCAGTAAACTATTGCCCTGTCTAGAGTGGTTCAGTGTCAGAAATGATCCTCTTTGTAATTTTTGCTCTTTTGTCAGTCAACAAGTGGAGCGAATCTTGGAAAAGACAGACAGACTGCGCTCAGACATGTTTGGTGAACTGCTGCAGGCAGCCAACACCATTGGAGATCTCCGCAACTGCCCTGTATGCCAACTTTTGTTTCCTTTTTAACTAATTTCATGCACACTAGATTCCACAACATTTTTGAATAACTCTTATTTTTAAAGTGTATTTTCCCCCCCTCTGTTAAGTTAATGTTAAGTTAGTGTTAATGCATCCAAGTACATTTCATTCCAACATAGTAAAGTTGTAATTAAAGCATGTAAAGATTTCATTACCCAGACAGCAAACTGACATTGAATCAACGTGGAAACGACGTCTCTCATGACATTGAAACAACGTTGATTTTGCTCATCGAATTAATGTTGAACCAACGTCAGACGCGGCATTCTTCAAAGCTAAATGAAAATCGAAAATTGGTTTGCTTTCATAACGTTGAAACAACGCGTTGATTTCAAGTTGATTTTCCGAAAGATTTTTTGAAAGAATGACGCGTCTGACGTTGGTTCAACGTTAATTCGATGAGCAAAACAATGTCAGATCAACGTTGTTTCTATGTCATATTTCCACGTTGATTCAATGTCAGTTTGCTATCTGGGTACATATCACTGATGACATTATTTTAATCAAATTGGCTAATGCATAATTTTGTATTAAAACACTCTTTCTTTGTTGTTTATAAATGTACTACTTAAAAAGCCATTCTTGTCTCAGAAAAATATATTGCAGAATGTCTTTATCTAAAGAATGTTTTTTATCAAGACCATGCTCCTGCCTAATTTTCAGACAACCAAAAAGTATGTTAAGAAGAAGTCCATCAGGCTCATGTTTTGGCCTGGTCAGAGTCCAGATTTTAACCCTGTACTTAATATTTAGACTCGCATTAAACTCAAACAAACTAGGAGACATTTTTCAACTTCTCATTAATTGTCTGAAGTCTTTAACATGGAGTGGAACAACAAGGACTCTTCTTCCTATAAAAAGCTGTCTGCAAGTTTACCAAAACAGCTTAAACTTTTTAAGAAAACAAAGGGGAAGGCAATTCTGTTTACCAAGTTACATTATCTACAGTATTTGTGAAATTCTTGTTAATTTCCTGGTCAAGTCTGTTAAAAGACCACTAAATATTTTGCCATTTTTTACTTTTTTTATTTATTTATTTTTGCTCAGGACTGTATAGCCTCAATTGCATTTTATAATCATACTGTCACAGCAGTGTCATTTTACCTTATTTAAACTTTTTTGCCATGAGCACATCAGGGCCTTAAATTATGCTCAGTATCTTGTATGTTATGTGGTTCGTAAGCAATAAGTTGTTGGCTGCAGTTCACTTAAAGGAGCAAAACGCAAGTATCTGAGTTTTTGCAGAACTACGCCCCCTCTGGCGACAAGCGAAACTGCGTGCGCGCTCACACACACATACACGCACGTTTGCACGAGCTGTTCATAACCAAAGGACAGTCCCTCCAGGATTTCACGATTTTTTTTGTGATTTTTGCGATCAAAATGACTGATTTTGTGGTGGTAATTTCCAAAAATTTGTGAAAAAATTTGCGATTTATATTTAACATTTACCATAATAGTATTCAGTCCTTCCAGAAAAACGCGGAGATTTTTTTGTGATTGTTGCGGGCAAAAATTGATTGATTATGCGGCCAGTTTTCTTTAAAAATGCGATGGAATATGGGGGATATTTATGCAATTTTATGCGATGAAATTGCTGGAATTTGCAAAAATTGAGGGAACTTGCAAAAATTGCGGTTTGATGAAAAAGAGAAAAAAAAGTGATTCCCCCAACATCCTGTTAATATAAGAGTCATTTCTTATTACTTCCTTTGATAAACAAGCATACTACATCATAGAAAGTGCTGGGAATATTTAATTTCTCATCTTGTTTTATTTCAGACTGTAAGAGTGTAAATAAGGTGTGGCCCCTTTAAGAGCTGCGCGCTCCCTGTTGAACTGTCTGCAGTGTTATATGTGCGCCTCGAACACCCCATGTGTGCGGGTAACTTCTGTTTGATGCTACTTCTTTTATCTTATGTTGTTTATTAAGTAACGATGTGACGGTAGAACGTGAGACAGACTGTTATACGAGTTCGATTTGTGAGATGTCAATCGCCTCCGTGAGTCTGTCTGGCGTCGCGTAATTGCGTCACTTCATAACGTTCCCATGGAAACAGGGGGAAATGGCTGCTCTTATGTGAAGCAAACGCAACATTTTTCAACTTTCTGCTAAGATACATGTGACTTTTTTTTTGCAACGAAAATGCGAGGATTATGAAATTATGCAAACCCCGCATATTTTGCACGGAAATCGGCAATTTATGCGGCGAAAGTGCGGCGTATTTGAAAAAATGTGGCCCCCGCATAAATATGCGGACTTTGGCTGATTTTGCATTGAATTCAGCGATCGCATAATCGCGTTTTTCTGGAGGGACTGAAAGGAGCATCAGCCGCATACTGTGCGGCACACATCTTTTGTTACAGTCATAATGAGGTAATACAGTTATAAATCTGCAGGTCATTTAAAATATATGAAAGGAAAGGCATTCGAGTAAATTACACACTTATGTGTGTGTGTGAGGGGAAAACAGGGGTAGTAGAAAACTTCGGTTTTTGTTTCCATCTATCTCCATAATGCTGTGTTATGTGCTTACTGTATCCACGTATGATTGTATAATTATGAAAGCCTTCCCGATGTTGACTCTCGTCTTATTCCGGCGAATGGCGCTGGACAGACAGAAGTTGTATTTTCTTTGTCTCACGTGGAGTTTGCGTTGGGGTTTGGAATTAACTACACGCCGGTCTCTTTGGGGGCTGTTTACACCTGGCCACAATGCGTTTTCTCAGATCGGATAGCTACCTGATTTATCAAAACGATTCCATTACTCCTGGTCACATAAATGTGTTTTTGCAAAACGGATATAATCTGATCTTCAATTCCCGCGCTATATAGGCTACAGAATTCATGAAGTGGACGTCACCGAAAGCAACAGATATGAGCTGCATTTTATTAATCATCGGCTAATTTCAAAATCAGCAAATACCGCAATAAGAGAGAGCGGCAACAGCCCTGGTTGCCTGGTAAGATCATTTAATTTCTTTACTTTTAATGAAGATGGTAGTGTTAAGCGTCTGCGACTTACTTTCACTTTGATTTGCGATAGATTGCGACGTGCTGGCTTTATGAATAGATGCTCAGCTGCTCATCCGAGGTGATGCGCGTCGTCATGACTAATGACATAACCTATAGCCTGCTTTCAACAACCAGATGCATTTACACTTGTCCAGTTTTGTCTGGAATACGGCCCAGACCACGTCCTCAAGTGATTTGAGTGATCGGATTCAAATCCGTCTCGAATGCGTTTCGGAGGGCAACCTGGTCTTTTCACGTTCGAAAAGTCCGATTGTCCCTCTTCCTCGAATTCGACCGCGTCTTCAGACTGGAGAGAGGCATGCATACTCCAGGAGTCGAGCTGTTCACTCCAGGATAGAGCTGCCGTGGTGGGCGGTTCTACAGGGATGGATACCTGCGGAGTGTTAGCTTGTGCAGGGCTAGGAGTCATGAGGGGATCCTGGCCCGACAGGCTAGCTTGGCGTGCTAGCCTGGGACGAAGACTCTTCGTGGTGAAGCGTGCGCAGTGTTCACACGTGCCGGGACTCTCGATCGCCAATTGAGCGTGTTTCAGCCCGAGGCATGCAGAGCAGACCTGGTGTGTGTCCTTGCATTAAATCTTGTTCCCGCATGAACAGAGTCACACGGAATCTCCCCCACTAGCCTGGATAGTCTGCATTGCTGCAGCCAATGTAGAATCGAACAATCCTCCTTGCAATCGGCTGGGATGCAAATCGAAGGAGCCAGACGAAAAACGCCGTGGTGGCCAGTAGTTCGTCCAAGAGTTCGTAGAAAATTTCAAAGGCTTCAAGGCTTCTGGTGTGAAGCGAGAAGAGGTTTTTGAATTTCGTAATGACGCTGTGTCGCTCCTCTTATACGGAGGGGTGGGGTAGCCACTCCCAGACACAGCGTCATGTCTGCCAGCCAATTGGGGCTGGCGTAATGTAATAGGGCTTCTGAGGAATACGCGGAAGGGGCTTATCCCATAGTGAGACACCGAAACGTATGCTTGAAAGAGAACCTGCCTGGAACGTAGTATTAAGTTCTTCACATGTTCTTCACATGTTTATCCGATACAATTTGATAGGAGGTGCTGTGTTCGAAAAACGAGGGGTCTGAGAATGCGGGACTGTAGATGCAGGTCTCCGAGTCTGCAGCTTCATACTACTCCATATTTTTGGTCTCGGCAGGCTATTACCATCGCAGTTTTATCAAAAATATGGTTAAACGTTGTGCCTCGGGCATTTGTATCACAGATACGCGTTTCCCAGAGAGGTTGGAGGGGGGTGTCGGTTTTTTCCCTTCCCAAAACCAAAGTCAAATCCTGACAAGTGTCGTGTTTTGATTAAACTGTGTGGACGTCCTCAGTCAGCTAAACCCTGCAAAGATCAACAATATTTTTTTACTTCTAACATTACTGTGAGTGTGAAGTTATACTAGTTAGACCGTTTTATAATGTTTTACGTTATGATTTCAGTTCTCATACCGGTTGTTGATACGCTAGCACACGCTGCTAATACAACGTTATACTCGTGTAGTCCGTTTGCTTTGTAATAATAACGATGATAGCAGTGAATAGAGACCTACCCAGCTTTGCATGAACAGTGTTGCTCCCTGTCTTTAGTCCCAGCCTCTGTCTCGATTAGTAGGAAATGCGGTGGTTCATTTTTTGACTGTGAGCGCTAACGTTATGCTTTTGCCTCTATTTTGGATGCCTTTTCTCTATCTTGCGTTTGTATGTCTTGAATATAGCCTTCGAACGCATATTGCAGCCCCTTTTGCCTACTTGTATCGGACACTTTATTTGCTGCTTTATAAAAGTTTGGTAACATTTCAGCAGGAAGAGCTGTTACAGCATAAGCCACGCAGAGCGCAGATGAAGTTTGACGGATGTAGCAACAGTAATTAAGGCGGGCGGGGCTTAGCCAAAGGTGAATTACAAATTGAAAGACATGAAAACATAAACGAACCAAAACCCAAATCAATGTGACACTTCCATTGTGTGAATAATATGTAATCATGTAATCATACTGTTGTCTGATAACGATTAATTAAAAAACATAATATTATTTAATTACAAGTACTTTAAAAAAATGTGATTACGTAATCTAGATTACATGTACATGTAGATCAGTTACTGCAAATTAAACAGTATTATTATACTGCATCAGCATGCCTTTGTTTGACATTTTGCTCTGTGTAATTTGATCTGTAATTTGTAATTTTATCTTGTGCATTGCAGAGTAATTGTGGGCAGAGGATAAAAATCCGACGTGTGCTAATGAACTGCCCAGAGATTGTCACCATTGGCTTTGTGTGGGATGCTGAACAGTCTGATCTCACTGAAGATGTCATCCGCTCTCTGGGCCCAAACCTCAATCTTTCAGGGGTGAGGTTCAAATCTCTCTGCACGACTGTAGCTGAGTGATATGCATACAAGTTCAAAATTAACCATCTATTATGTATTATTACTTGAGTTAATATCCTCTTAGAGGAGTAGTTCACTTTTGAAAAAAACTTTTGCTGAAAATTTACTCACCCCCATGTCATCCAAGATGTCCATGTCATTCTTTCTTCAGTCGAAAAAAAATTAAGGTAATTGATGAAAGCATTCCAGGATTTTTCTTCATACTGTATAATGCAATTCAGAACCAAACGGTTCAAGGTCCAAAATACACTTTCAGTGCAAACTGCAAACTGTTCAAAGGGCTTTAAACGATTCCAGACGATGAATAAGGGTCTTATCAAGCGAAACGATTGATCATTTAATAAATAAATAACAAAGTTTAAGTTTTATAAGCTCAAATGCTCGCCTTGCTCTGTTCTGTGACGCACGTTTGTGACTCTCCTGTTCGAACAAATCTTTTGGTTCATTTGGTTCAACGACTCATTTGGTTTATTCAAAGAACGAATTGACTCGGAAAAAGATTCGTTCATTTTGATGAACGAGTTCGAACAGGAGATTCACAAGCGTGCATCGCAGTACAGAGCAAGGCAAGCATTTGAGCTTATAAAACTTAAACTTTGTTATTTTTTTTAAATGAGTGATATTTTCGCTTGATAAGACCCTTATTCATCGTCTAGAATCGTTTAAAGCCCTTTGAACAGTTTGAAGTTTGTACTGAAAGTGTATTTTGGACCTTGAACCATTTGGTTCCCACTGAAGTGCATTATATGGTGAAAAAATGCTGGAATGTTTTCATCAAAAACCTTAATTTCTTTTCGAATGAAGAAAGAAAGACATGGACATATTGAATGACATGGAGGTGAGTAAATTATCAGCAGTTTTTTGAAAAGTGAACTACCCCTTTAGGTTTTTGTAGTGTCTGGAACTACTATAGGCTCTAGAGCAGTGTCCAAAAGTCTCAAAGTTTCTCTTTTGCATTTTTCTAATTGATTTAAAAATGTTTAATTGGAAATTATGTAATTTACTTAAAGATAAATTAAAAAATGAATAGGAATGTAGAATTCTTCAGTAGTTGGTACATCTCACTTTTTCTGATATGACCTCCACAAATTTATGCAAAACCTGTTGATCCATGTAAGTAAACATGTTTTGAGAATGTTTTAAAAGCACATCATGGCCATTTAATTTAAGTGATTCATTCTTAATTCGTGGCCATGATATATTATTTTTTCTCCCTGTTTTAACTAAATCATTGCCATGTTGTACTAACATGTTGTACTAATTTGTTCCGTCGTTTTACATCAACCGTGCCCATGTTGGACTAATTCATTCCCTTTTTTTTATTTAGTTAAATCAGGGGTGTCCAAACTCTGTCCTGGAGGGTTTAGCTCTAACTTGCATCAACACATGCCCAGAAGTTTACATGCATACATTTAAATGCTACATAGCTGCTTGCAAATATGTGACGCTAAAGTCAGCCATCTTTTGCCATACTCTCCTCTGCTATCCTAGACCTCAGTTTCCTCTTTAGCAGTCTTATATGAGTGCTGCAGGCCAATATCACATAATGTCTAGGTCACTACACTAGAGGAGACATCATGAACCTTGGCACTATATGATAAAACCATCCAGTCTGAACCCCCTGAGCTGGAGGCAGTTTAACCTGTTATTTTGATTTTGTGACATAAAAATTCTGTAGATGGGTTTGCTGTTCTGTAGTAGACTAAATGTGACACATACGCCTTATTCACGGCAGCGCCATCTTTGATTTTTAATGAGAATGAAAGCGAGGCTGTGAGGGATAGACATGCATCTCTTCAATGGGCTGTACTGTTATTTAATGTGTTTTCGTTTTGTTCTGCTCATGAAACACTGGAAAAATATCTTTCCAAGAAATTTTAGTTGACAAAAAACTCCCAACAATATAAGCTGTGGAAAATTGTAAGTAATCTAGGAGCTTTAGTCAGCTTTTTACAGCGGATGCCATTGGAAACACGGTAAGTTTATCCCTCACAGCCTCACTTTCATAGTTCATACCTGTCATGGCGCTGCTCTGAATAAGGTCTATTGCCTCAAAATATCTCCAGTCTTTCATTTTCTTCACTGTGAGAGTTTTAAATGTCAGTTTGACTGTTCTCTCTGTTTATTCTTCAGCTTTTTTATAGAGTCACTGATGAAAATGCAAAGAAAAGAGATCTCCACCTGGTGGGAATGATCTGTTACTCTAGTCGACATTATCTAGCATTCGCTTTTCACAGCAAGTCTTCCAAATGGATATTTTTTGATGATGCTACCGTGAAAGAGGTATTTAACAAAAGCACACACAGATTTTTGAACATACAATTTGAAATAGTGTTGGGTGAGTGTTGGATCTGGACTGTTAAAGGAAAAATTGACGATTCAAACACAACAAGGGTTGATCCATGAGATTCCACCATTGCGTTTTTGATCATGGCATTTAAACTCAGCTTGCTGCAGAAAGACCTTGCATCTACTGTTTGTAACATTGGTTGAAAGTTTTTGCTAAATGACAACAACAGCATAAATTATATACTGTATAATGTAATATCTCACTCAAAATATCTCAAACACTACAAATTATCCAACTGATTCTTCCAGACTTAAAGGACAACTCCGGCGCAAAATGAACCTTTGGTCTAATTACACATTGCTACCTAGTCAACCGTTATCTGAGATTTTTTTTCATGATTGCCGAATGTAAATAGTTTTATCTCTAAAAACAGTTTAGCCTATAACGCTAGTTCAATGCTAGTATATAGGGCATAGAGTAATGACAAATAAAAATCGCTTGTTATTACCACTAACAAGGCTCAAAATAGCCCCACACCAAAACGACAGCATAACAAGGGTCCCTACATTCAAACCGAAGCGTTGAGAACTTTGTCAGTGTCCATACAGTTTAATAAGAAGATATTTTATACACACAGTAAATTTCGCGAATTCAGGAAGAAGCCATCTTTGAAAAATAGTCTCTACCAGTCGATCTACGAACGCCGATCCAAGTGCGCTTAACTGTGCAGAATCTCATATGATCCGCTGTTTCCAGAAGAAACACAAACACAAACCGTTTACTTGTCTTCAATATGTACACGTAGCCTACTGTTCGCGCTCACCTTATCACCTTATTCACATCTCACCAGCGCACTTGGATCGGCGTTCGTAGATCGACTGGTAGAGACTATTTTTCAAAGATGGCTTCTTCCTGTATTCGCGAAGTTGACTGTGTGTATAAAATATCTTCTTATTAAACTGTATGGACACTGACAAAGTTCTCAATGCTTCGGTTTGAATGTAGGGACTCTTTTTATGCTGTCGTTTTGGTGTGGGGCTATTTTGAGCCTTTTTAGTGGTAATAACAAGCGATTTTTATTTGTCATTACTCTATGCCCTATACTAGCATTATACTAGCGTTATAGGCTAAACTGTTTTTAGAGATAAAACTATTTACATTCGGCAATCATGAAAACAAATCTCAGATAACGGTTGACTAGGTAACAATGTGTAATTAGACTAAAGGTTCATTTTGCGCCGGAGTTGTCCTTTAAGACTTCCAACAAATATCTGATGCATTTTTAGATTTATATAGCAGTTTGTCTTCTGAAATCATACACAGTCATTGGCACAGGTATTGTTATTATTGTGTGAACAGATTTTTATTTTATTTAATTTTTTTTTTTTTTTTACAGTGGAATGACTTTTTCTCCCTCATACCAAACATCTGAGCCTTATACCCTGCTTTAAAGTTTAGTGGAGTATAGCACCTGAGAATTAATTCCTCAATTTACTATTTGCAGAGCAGAGAGTGTGGCCATGATGTACTAATTCATGCCATCATTTTAGGTTAATAGTGACCATGCCATGATATAACTAAATTTAAAACAAGGAAACAAATTACATCTCTTTGGTATATTGTATATAGGGTCTACCATACATGGTTTTGGTACTGTTATGTAGCTTTTTTGGTATAAAAGTGGATTCAGATGTGGACATTTTGTTAGTGAATCTATTTTTAGTTGAAGTAATTGTAATTACCGGAATGATAATGAGGTGCATACTGATTAAGATAAGCTTAGTGTGCTGAGCTTAATAAAGAGTTAGAACAAACACACTCTCAACGTTGATGAGACTGTGTGCTGTATTAAGGCAGCTAACAGACGGTCGCTTAAGCCTGTCTGCTTCCTGGCCTGAGGCCCAGTGAGTCAGATAGGCCTATACTATTAAGATGATTTAACAAATTTAAGAGTGGCACCTTCCCTTAGGAGATGGAGTCTTTCTGTCTTCAATAGGCCAGGTCTACAGCACAAATTATTGCAATTACGCTATCTCTGAATGCTGTTTTACTGTATTCTCTTGACAGCATTCACATATTCACCACCCTTTTGAATAGGACCAGAGCAGATTACAGTGTCTGACAACATCTTTGCTAGCACACACACCTCTTTAAAATTACTATTTGGATTCCCCAACACGTAAAGCCAGATGTTTTCAGTGCCGTGAATAATAATACCATTTACTAGAGGCATATTTAAAAGTAAATTCAAAAAATAGCACTTTTAAATATGCCTCTGAAATAAGTGTCTGACTGGGTCCTACAGTTTGCATTGCACTGTGGTTGCAGACACATCTTCTAAAAACTGCTGAAACGCAACATCATCACACGTTGTATACAGCCAGTGCTGTAGGTTGAAATCGTGTTTTAGGGCAGTCCGAGTAATGGCACGTGAAAAGTGCCGGTACACAAGAACGTGTGGGTACGCTATAGATAAAAATATAGAAGTGTGTGCTGACCCACTTTGAACACTGGGTACAGCAGCTTGTCACTGGGCGACATCTTTGTACCTTATTTACCTATCTTCATAGTAGTACCTTAAGTGTAAATATTACTACTCTAAGTTACTAAAATGCACTTTTTGGGGGTTAATAATGTACAAAGTTATGCTTATAGGAGAACTGCCCCAGAGACAAGTCCCTAAATAGACAATTATTGCACAATTTCTTTGAAAATGTGTGAAGCTCTCTGATATTTGAACCTCTTTTTATATACTGACATATTCTTGTATCCAATATCGTGTATCTAGATTGGCTCCAAGTGGAAAGATGTGGCATCTAAATGTATCCGAGGTCACTTCCAGCCACTCCTCTTATTCTATGCCAACCCGGATGGTACTGCAGTGTCCAATGAGGATGCCCCCAGACAGACCACCATGTGGTCCCGTTATAACTCCCCCCTCAATGGGAAAGGGACAGGTAAGACTGCTCATCTTGTTTAAACAGAGGATATTATCCAAAGATATTGGCAGATGATTTTAAAATCTTTTGAATGAAGTGCAGTTTTTTCTTTTGCCCTAATACTTGCTTGGGGTGTAATCTTTTTTAATATATATATATATATATATATATATTTTTTTTTTTTTATTATTTATTTATTTATCTATCCTTTATTTAACCAGGTAAAAAGCTCATTGAGATTAAAAATCTCTTTTACAAGAGAGACCTTTCCAAGATGCAGCATAAAATACATAAAAAGACACATTTCAACATATATAAAAACAAATAAAAGCACATCAAATACACATACATATATATCACAAAGACCCTGTGCTGGAAAAAAAAAAAGACAATTAATACAATTTTATGAACAGTTACACTGACCAATCTCCTCCTGCTCCCTATTCTTCAGCATTGAAACAAACTGTTTATAAGAAGTTAAAGTAGTCATCTTTAATGATTTCTGAAGAAGGTTCCAGGCTAAAGGTGCTGCAAACATAAAGGCTTTTTTGCCTAATTCAGTTTTGACACCGGGGACCACCAAGTGTAATACATCATTTGAACGTAATCCATAATGACTGATTTTTTTGTTAAAAGGATACTCAAATAGGTAGGAGCTAAACCAAAAAGTACCTTATAAATGAAACATAGCCAGTGAGTGTACCTGTCACGTGTCTGTCCTGTCGTGTTAGCACATGGGTGGTTTTGTTATGTTGAGCCTTGTGCTTCTGTCATTGTTTGATCCTCCCCCTCGTTACCTGATTAGTGTTTGAGTTCTCCCACCTGTTCCCTCTTGATTTGTTCCCTATTTAAATTCCTTCATGTTTGCAGTCTGTGTTGGATCTTTGTCTTATATCGTCCCTGTTCCTCGGTGTTATTCATGGTCAGTGTATGGTATTTCAGTTCAAGTTCAGTTTTATGTTTTGTTAAGTATGGTTTCCCCCTCGTGGGTTTTTGCTTTGTGTTTTGTTTTATTTTGTTAATAAATCATCCCTTCACTGCACTTGAGTCCTTCCCTTCACTTTTGTTAAGTGTATCGTGACAGTACCTTCTTGCATAAAGAGAGGGCAATTTAGCTTTATAATAAAGGGTACAATAATGTGTCCTATAACCACAACCAGTGATAAATCGTAATGCACAATGATACACTACATCCAGTTTTCTCAAACATTGGGCAGAAGCATTCATATATATCAAGTCACCATAGTCTAATATGGGAAGAAAAGTGGCCATCACCAGATATTTTCTAGCGTGGGTGGATAAGCATGATTTTGATCTGTAAAGATAGCCAAGCTTTATCTTAAGCTTAGAAACTGATTAGAACCAGATTGTTAACATGATTTTTAAAACATAGTTTAGAATCAATGATTATGCCCAAATATTTATAACTGTTAACTAACTCAACTTCTTTTCCTTCAAAACTTGAAATACTAACAGAAGAGAAGAGTTGTTTAGAGTTTGTAAATACCATTATATATCTAATCAATATAAAAGTGTTTTCTATTATTATGAATGATCGGGAATTAGGTACAGACAACTATTCAATTAGTGCTGATATTTATGTAAATTGTGTTTTCGTCCGTTACAATAGTCTGTTTAAGTCTGATTTTGGAGCACAAATCCCAGGTTTGCAGCAGCAATTGCTGGGTGAATGAATTGATTTCTGCTTAGGTTTCTGAACTCTACCAAGGACAGGGATTATCACCCACGCGCACTTTCTCTATCTCTGCCTTTCACTTTATCGCTCTCTCTCTTCCTGGCTGTCCTAATCCTTTCTCTCTGGCCTCTGCATTCCACAGTTATTCTCTTGTCCCCTCTACCGAATTTTCGCTCCATTCTCTCTTCCATTCTTGCTTTCCTCTGACTGATGTTCTAAATGGATATTCTCCCCAGTCTGTCGTACTCACAGTGTTCTATTGGAATGGGAAAGCATTCTTATTTTCCCATGAAAAACTGTAAGTAGTCATTGTCTTTCTTTTATTTTTCCTGTAAGTGCCAACGATTTTATTCTATTAGTATATTTATTATGATTTCTGTCAATAGCTGACCACAGAAGGAAAAATTGTTTTTTCTTTTTAATTTTAGTATGTGTGGTTTTATGCACAGTGGGATGCAGCACAGAGAGAGCAGTGTTGTGCATGGGTAACTATTGCAGTTGTGCAGCAATCTGTGCACTTAACAACCTCCCTCCTCTGCTGAACCTTTGTGTGTATCTTTGGTAGTTTCTCGGTCTTGAAAGGTCTTAATGAGTTTCCTGGATTTGTTCCTCTGGTGCTTTTGGAATGATTTTTAATGTGCGATCTGTACCAGATTGTTCCTGTAGTCTCTGCTGATCTCTGTACTTTAGACTGAGTTGGCAACACTTCTGCTAAGCAGGACACAGATGCTCTCTCGGTAGTGAAAGACTGCTGCAGTGCCTTGTTTTCATCAAAGTTGCTAACTTTTCACTTGCTTTAAATGCTGGGCTTAAAATAAATACAATATTACCTATTAAAGTTTGGCTTTGAAAAAGAATGTTGGTCAGGCATCAGTTAAATTAGTCATTAAATGTGTTGTATTTTTTTTTAACAAAGACTTTGGCAGTACTTATAACTCTAAAAGCACTCCTTTTTTTCATCTGATATCCAATTCTGTTACTGCATGGTTTTAAATATTTTCCCCTAAAAATTGTAAAGAAGTGCCAGAGACATGGTGTAGTGCAGGGTTGCTCAAATCTGGCCCTGGAGGGCCACTGCCCCTGTGACAAGCTGCTAAACCCAGTGCTCGAAGTGGGCCGGAACACACTTATTTTACCTTTGCGTATCCTCACTTTAAACCCTGAAACTCGATTTAAACCCTCGGGAGTACCGGCATCTTTTTTCCCCTCTTTGCGTACTGGCTGTATACAGAGTGTGATGATGTTGGTTTTGCATAGTTTCGCTCAAACCCTGATCAAACTCACCGTCCTGTGATTTTTTAGTGATCCTGAAGACCTTGCTCAGCCTGCTCAGGTATGTTTGAGGGTTGGAGCTAAACGCTCCAGGATATTGGCCCAGATTTGAGGAAACCTTGTGTAGTGGTTAATGCACATGTTGGTGGTCTTGATCCCATTCCACCTTTTCACTCTATAATTTCCTGTCCTCGTTGTCCCTGTTAATAAAATTGGCCACGAAAAAAGCCAAACATTTCAAGAACATTTTTAAAAAGTATGCATTTTATCATTGTATTATTATAGTAATCATTGGTGTGTTCTCACACACAGTCAGTTAATGTTTCGATCAGTTCATATTAAGTTTTGTGATTAAAGTCGGCATGAGCTGTAAGTTGTGATAGTCTTTTATTCCCTGTTGTGACGTATATCCTAGTGAAATGGTTTGCTATTGCTTTGATCTCATGTGAGTGACAGTTAGTCCCACCATCATGCTAGTAAACATGTCATCAGAGAAGAGAAGAGATGTTGCTGCAAGAGGGAGGGGAAGTTATTTTGAATCAAGATTATGATTTTTTTTGTCTATCTCTCTTCATAGATTTCTTTTAAATCCAAAACATTTTCTATTGTTTTATGGTGGTTTTAGTTTAACTGTATTATTATGTTATATTATTATTTGTTTGATTTATTATACAGTATTAATGTGTGCAGATCCTCATTGCTCTTTATCTATGGGGAATGCAGTAATCCATGCACTTGTTTTTTTCTCTCTTTTTACATCTAGGGTGGCTCACTGTGTGTCCTATATAAGCACATGATAAGCAAGTTTGTCCTCTCTCTCTCTCACTCTCTCCCAGCAGAAGTGTGCAGACGCAGCAGAGATGTAATATAGTTTAGCAGCCCATCTCTACCCAAAGCTGTTTGAGTTGCAGATTGCATTGGTTTATTTGATTACTTGCTTTCTTTGGATGAGATACAGAATCAAATCGTAAAGGTCTTTCTCTGCAAATAAAATCTAAAGCAATATAGATAGATACTATTAAACTGTAGTGCATTATGATACGAATCACATTAAATGCCCCTTGCATGTGTTATGACTAAATAAATGTTGTTACTTGCAAATTAGAGGCAGACCGATATATCGGCAGGCCGATATTATCGGCCAATATTTGGCATTTTCCAAACTATCGGTATCGGCAGTTATAATGGCCGACAAATGAATAGTTCAAAAATAAAATAAAAACGGACGAAACACGCTTGAATCATGTCATGAGTGTTGGAGTTGTATAGTTTGTCCACCAGAGGGCATTCTACACCGTCCCTGTTGGCAGCACTCGTTGAGTTGGTCACTATACATACATTGCTTGAATAACAATTAAAAGAACATCCCCATCAGTTCTCTTAACTCAAATAAGCATGACAAAATTTGTGACTATGATGTCCAGTTTTGCTGCTGTTAAATAAGCCGAGAGTGCAGTGGAATTAGCTAGTAATAGTTATGTTATATTGTTTGTTACAGTGTAGTTGACTGACTGTCCTTTTAACTTTTGACAATGTGACTGAAGTATTTCTTTAATAGCGCGTGACAGTTATAGATAATGCCATTATCATCAGTCTGTTCTGTTGTTGTGACAATAAAAGAAACAAGTTTCTTTTTAAAATGCATTATCATATTATTTTAGTTAAAACCCATAAATAAATACAAATAACTAACGTTAGGGAAATCTGTTAATATTTTGTTGCGCGTTTCTGAAAAAAAAAAAATATATCGGCGATATATCGGAATATCGGATTTTAAAACCAACAGATATTTGTATCGGCCTTCAAAATCCTTTATCGGTCGGGCTCTATTGCAAATACTGTATTTTGAAAAAGATTACACCAGCCAACAGTTAAGACCAGTCATCATTTACTACCCATTGTGTCTTTCCAAACTTGTGTTTCTTTCTTATCTGGTTTGTATTTTTTCTGTGGAGCACAAAAGGAAAAGTTTAACAAAATGTTCTCACTGCTCTTTTTGAAAATTATGGTTTTACTTAACAATAACAACACTGCAAATTATTGACATGTGAACACTAAATATAAATGCAAATTTAGAACTTAGAGATCTTACAGTTTTTATTTCTATATTACATTTTTTGGTGTTTTTATTGTTTTGAAACACACTGAACTAAAATTCAAATGTATTTTTTCTACTTAAAAAACAAAACTTTTGCAATGGCAGAGTATTTAAGAAAAAAAGTCCAATTGGATGTAGACTTACCCCTGTGATTTCTCTGTCTTTCTCTGTTGCAGACACTCAGCTGTCAAGCTCTAAGAAACTGGACAGTTTGAGAGATGTGAGTGCAGGTTCCCAACGAACAAATCAGGGATCCCACAAAACACCAATGCAATCATCATCCAATCGTTGTAAGTCATCATCATTACTTTATGCCTGTACAGTATTTTATGCTTCAATGCAATGGTACAAGGGTTACTCCACCCGAAATTGAAAGTTTTCTCATAATTTACTCATCCTCATGTGTCCCAATTGTATATGACTTTCTTTCTTCAGAAAAATAATCCTTTTTTGTGAGGCCAATAACACAAGTGGATGAGTTCCTTAAAGTTGACGATTCAAAAACCCCGCAGAACAACCTTGACGGTAATCCACACAATCCCAGCTGATGAATCAACATTTCTGAAGCAAAATGATTGGTGGGTGTAAAAATATACTTTTTAAAAACTTTTTTTTATAATATTTTTTAAAAATATTTTTGACTTTCTTCACTATAAACCATCATTTAACTTAACTGTCCTATGCGGGTGCATGCGGGTTCCCGACGCTTCTCACGTGAGCTTCAGAACACGGTTATATCATTCTTTACAACATGCTGATGTAGCGCTTCATGACACTCTCATGAACCCACATATGACAGCTAGAAGCGATGGTTTATATTTTAAAAAAATATTAAAATATTACCACAGTATTTAATATTATCACAATCCTATTGTTTCACTTCAGAAGACATTGATTAATCAACTGGGGTCGTATGGATTACCATCACATTCACTTTTTCTTCATTTGTGTTCATTTTAAGAAATAAAGTCATACACTGTACATCTGGAATTACATGAGGGTGAGTAATTTGTGAGAAAATTTCCATATCCCTTTAACTAAAGAAAGAAACAACGTTTGAAGGAATTGCATTGTAAAGATAATTTTCTGCCAAGAGTAAGAGCTCTTTAGAGTTGTGATCCTTCCAATTTCTGTCTTTTCAAAGTGCTTCCAGAAAGTCCCTGCAAGTTTCGAGAGTCTTCCAGAGATTTTTCTCACCGTGGAGGAGGACAGAGGAAAGACAGTGAAAGAAGCTACCGAAAATCAGACTCTCTCCAACACAAAGGTATATGTTAATAAAAGATACATACAGGGGTTGGACAAAAAAACTGAAACACCTGGTTTTACTACACAATAATTTGTTAGAATGGTGAGGGCCTCATTTTGCATCCAAATACAGCACCAATTGACAGATAGAAGTCCTTCACAGTGACCAGAGGGATTATGAGCCATTCCTCTTCCAGAACAGTGTCCAGGTCACTATATGATGCTGGTGGACTCGCTCCTCCAAAACACCTCAATAATATTCAGATCTGGTGACTGTCAGACCATGGGAGATGTTCAACGTCACTTTCATCTTCATCAAACCCTTCTGTCACAAGTCTTGCTGTGTGTGTTGGTGCATGATCATGCTGATACATGGTTTGAGCATCAGGTGCTCATGATCCTCCAGAAGGGTTTGGTAGTCCTCGGCAGTGTCGTGTCCATCAAATACAATCAGGATTGTCATGATATTGGAGCTCAAACCATCACTGATCCACCCGTGCTTCACTCTGAAGATTGGCCGCCAGGCATATAGATGTGAAACCTCCAACATTGGCCAGTGTTTCAGTTTCATTGTCCAACCCCTGTAGGTAACACTTTACAAAAAGTTTCATTAGTTAAAATATTAGTTATCTACATTAGTTAACATGAACTACAAATAAACTATACTTATACAGCATTTATTAATCTTTAGTAATGTTGATTTCAACATTTACCAACAATTTATTAAAATCTTGTTCACATTAGTTAGAGAACTCCAGTCAATTTTAACATTGAGCTCATTTTTTTGTACATTTGAAGTGCTGTCAGAACAGACAAAAACGACAAAAATTGGTGTTGCCTACACCGTGTTATCGTCTTTTTAAAATTCGCACCCTGTTGACTTCAACGGGGCATGTTCTAAACCTGCTTTTAGCCTCTTAACATCCTTGATTTGTCATTATGAGTGCACAGCCATGAGAGTGGTGTTATTAAGAGTGACCACGGTCAATCTGAGTGCAGTCGATATGAAAGATATTAATTAAAATGATGTTAATTCAGCCAGCGCACATACCTCTATTTGCTTCCTGTTTTCGGTCGAAGCTCACAGTAGTCGATTGTCGAGTTCACACGAGCGATCATTAGTGAATATCATCTCAAACCCAACACTATGTGGTGTTCTGAGAATATCAGCTCAAATGGATAGTTCACCTGAATCAGATGTTGAACACACAGAGGAGGTTTTTCTAACATGAACAAATAATGAACAGCTTTATTTTTATTAACTAGCATTAACAAAGTTTAACAAATACAGTAGCAAATGTATTGCTCATGGTTAGTTAATGTTAGTTAATAGATTAACTTATGAACCTTATTGTAAAGTGTTACATACTGTACATATTTATGATGAAATGTTCGCATTATCTAAATCTTCTATCTGAATCTCTATCTGAATCTAAAATGAGTTATCATCCTGTGGACAACAGTAGCCTTTGTAGATTCCGTTATATTTTTGTCTATATAAAATTCAACAGAATGATGCAGTTCTAATGATAATTTACTCAGAATAAGTGTCACAACTATGCTCTTTTTCACTAATGTGCTCATAAAATATTTACACTAGTTTAATCATATAATAATGTTAGTATAGACCATACACTCATTTTTCCCTTGTAGTTTTTGAATTTTGTAGTTTATGGAGATTTGAGTGTTGCACATTGTAATACGGTTTCCACTGGTAATATGCATCAATCATCCTCATGCCAAAAAAATAAATAAATAAAAAATAGCTAAACCTTTTTTATGAGCACTAGAGCACTTTTAACATAAGCCGATTTTAGAATTTTATATTGCTACTGTAGTACTGTCATTTTTTTTGTCACTTCATGTCTCTGAAATTAGGTTTCATATGAGAATTTGTGTGCATTTATGCATCTTTTGCTCTGATTTTGATATATATATATATATATGAAGAGTTCAGATGCAAAAGCCTCTAGGGCTACGTTCACACTGCAGGCTGAAACGACCTAATTCCGATTTTTTTGCCCCTATGCGACCTGTATCTGATTTTTTCATGACAGTCTGAACGACACAGATCCGATCTTTTCAAATGCGACCCAGGCCACTTGGGTATGTGGTCTAAATCCGATATGTATCCGATCTTTTGAAATGCGACTTCAATCTGAACGGCCAGGTCACATATATCCGACCCGCACAAGCACCTGTAGCCAGCCAATACACGCTAACTCCAACGCGTTTCCTCACTGTTATGGGCCACTGCAGACGTGTCTCTTCCCCAGTGTTGTGCCTGAACGCGTTCAATGAACGATAGTGCATGAACGCGTTCATATTTTCGCGTATCATATTATTCACGTTCGCCCGAAAAAAAAATACAGTATTACTGCCTGATGAACATTACTGTGAACACGTTCATTCTGGTATATGTGAACGTGCGCTCTCTGTCAGTATAACTTTGTACAGTAGGTTGCCAGATATAGAGCCTTCCAAGCGAAAACCTGGCTAAAACACATGTGAACATGCCTTAAAATGTAGCGAATAACCACCCAATCTGGCAACACCGCGGCCGCCGGTGACAAAGCAAGGAGCGCCGCGGACACGCACTATCAATTAAACGCGTTTTATGACGAGGTCGGTGAGGATCGGAAAAATCTTACATTTATGTGCAAACTGCCCGTCGATAAAATAATTATTGTCTGTGTTTGTATATGGGCTGTGGCAATAATAATAATAAAACAAAAGCTCGCAACATATGAAAAAAAAGAACTATTCTGCAAACAACAAGTGACGTCTTGGACCGTTGATTACTCTTCTGCACATGCGGGTCACTTCTGGGTCATTTCACGTTCACACAGGAGATCACAAAAGGTCGCATTTAATTGGAAATGTGAACGGCCTTGCAAAAAAATCGCATTTTTTCAAAAAATCGGAATTGAGCATTAAGCCCTGCTGTGTGAACGTAGCCTAAGTGCCATTTGAAATTTTCTTCTAGAATGAGCATTTTTATCAAGCTTGTATATTTAAGTTCAGTGATTTCACTTAAATGGCAATGACAATTACCTATTAATTGTTATTTAAGTGAAATCACTGAACTTAAATATACAAGTTTGATAAAAATCATCATTAAAGAAGAAAATTTCAAATGGCATTTAGAGGCTTTTGCATCTGAACTCTTCATATATATATATATATATATATATATACAGTATATTTGTATATAGTCCTACATCTAATGGTGTTGATCAGTCAGACATTTTGAATCTATCAGTGGAGAATGCGGACACAAAGGCAGTTATGTCTTTGCTGAGGAGCCGAGACTGAACTCAGGCATCTACCCAGCGGTACAGCGGAAGTGGCAGGGAGACGTAACGTCTCTGTTCCCTACTCAGGGAACAAGGGTTACATACGTAACCGAGATGTTCCCTTTCATAGTCACTCTGAGTTACATTGGATGACGGAGAATGGGGGTCACCCGTGTAATCACGCCACCTTCACAGCTGTCTTCCAGTGCTCTGCGAAGTCTGATCCCCTGTCTTGATATTGGCACAGACGAGGAGTCCTACTTAGCACAGGAATACCAAGGTACACTGGGGAGCATATCTCAGAGGAAATATGCCACAGCATGCCTACCCGTAGGGAGGACTTAAGAATACACATATGGCCCAATAGGGGGCTTCATATGGAGGGACACTGGAGTGAAGCCACCTTGCCATCCCTGGAGTTGAAAGTTGCCAGGGAAAAACACATGCTCAAAGGAGGCTTACAGTGGAAATACACATGTGGGCTTACTCAGGGGATGGACCATGCACACGGAGGCACCTAGCCGATGCACAGGCAATAGACACGGGCACCAGCATCAACAGTGTTGGAGGAACTCAGGGCTTCAGAGAGGAAGACTCAGCTGAGGAAATATCGCACTTATGCTCGCAGTGGTATGGCGAGCAAGCGAAGACACCTGAATGGGTCCAGTACTTAGCTGGTTGAAGCGAGTACATGAGAGGACACAGGCTCCACTTGGAGACTGTAGAATCTGGCGAATGTGTTAGGTGTCGCCCAGCCTGCAGCTCTGCAGATGTCTGCCAGTGAGGCGCCATGCGCTAGAGCCCAAGAGTAAGCCACACTCCGGGTGGAGTGCGCTGTCACACCAAGGGCGCATGGTCGGCCTTGCTGTTGGTAAGCCAAAGCAATGGCGTCCACTATCCAGTAAGACAACCTCTCCTTTGAGAGAGCCTTTCCCTTCAGTCTCCCACCATAACAGACAAAGAGCTGGCCTGAGGTCCTGAAACAATGCGTTCTGTCTACATAAGCACGGAGGGCACGTACTGGACAGAGCAGTGCCAAGGCTGGGTCTGCCTCTTCCAGGGGCAGCGCTTGCAGGTTCACTACCTGGTCCCGGAAGGGAGTGGTAGGAATCTTGGCACATATCCAGGCCGGGGTCTCGGGATCACGTGAGAGTGACCCAGCCCGAATTCCAGCCACACTTCGTCAATGGAGAATGCATGCAGGTCCCCTATCCTCTTGATGGAGGCCAGTGCAACCAGGAGTGCTGTCTTCATTGACAGGAACTTAAGCTCAACTGATTGCAGAGACTCAAAGGGAGCCCTCTGCAGGGCATTTAAAACCACTGAAAGGTCCCAAGAGGGTACGAGAGCAGGACAAGGAAGATTCAGTCTCCTCGCTCCTCTCAGGAACCAGATGATCAGGTCGTGATATGCAGCGATAGCGGCCAAATACACATTCAGGGGGGAGGGAGACAGCCTTCGCTCAAACCCGTCTTGCAGGAAGGAAAGCACAACACTGATCGAGCATCTCTTGGGGTCTTCTCGGCGAGAAGAGCACCAGTTGACAAAGATGTTCCACTTCAACGCATAGGCATGTCTCGTGGATGATGCTCTAGCTGAAATGATGGTAGCTGCCACTGCATGTGGCAGGGTACTCAAACCTGCCTCGTCCCATACAGGAGCCACACATGGAGCCTACAAAGATCGGGATGAGAGTGCCATAGGGTGCCTCGTCTCTGAGAAA